AGGAAGGCACAAGTGCAGCCTGACATTGCTGGCTTCATAAAGCCTTTCTCGGCCACGGTGAGGCTCGTAAGGTTATATTTAACCTTCTTATATTATTTTCATAGAATACATTTTTATTGCAAAATTTTTTCAACACGCAGAGTAGATGTTTACTGGCTACAGTGCGCTCAATTTTCTAGATTTATACATTATGATGTTTGCTCTTATCCTAATGACCATAAAAGTCTCAATGCAAGGAATGACTCTTATTAGCATTGAAAAATAATATTCCTCACCAGCATAACAATAAGAGTCTATTGAAAATTTCGTCGACCACTTGAATATCCAAACAGTCCCCAAGCAAATCAGTAAACTCAACTTTGCCCAACAGACTTGGCTGAGCGTTCTAGCAACGTTTGCTGATATCGTCGTCTGCTTCATCTTGACGTTCAAAATGCGAGAGATTCTGTCGCCAAAAGCCAGTTCAAAGTAAGACCAGTTCACCCAAATAAGCGTGAAATGGAGGTGATGAATTGTTTTCTATAGTGCAACAAATATTATATCCTCATCCGATTCGATTCATTTGGAATTTCAATTCTGTTCAAGGAATGAATTCAAAATTTGCAATGTAATTTATCATTTGGCTCCTGTTCTATTACAATGTGAAAAGTAACACACGAGATTAAGATACTACATTATCCATTGAATAACATATTTTTCCAAAAATATTTGCTGATATAATATGTGCTATTTTTCCCGTAGACGCGGCCAACACCGATTGTCGTCACGCGACGCCCGAATCTCCGTTTTCACAGTGCTTAAAATTCTGCTTAACCAACGTGAGCGAAAGCCCAGGAGCGTCTGTTTCGTGCGATAAAGAAACGTGTTTTTACCTTAATTGAACCAATAATGTTGGTCCGATTGACTCGAACCGATTGACAAATCGTGATTCGGAAATTTGTCTCTGAAAGAAAATTGCATATATAAACTTCTGTTGCAGCCCAGGAAAACGACGAACGCTTACCCCTGATGCGACTGTTGCTAATGACGACGATGCTGTGGGGCTTCCTACTGAGCACTTTCTACAAGACCTTCCTCACGTCCATGCTCGTCCTGCCGAGGGTGGTCGAGCCCTTCAACACCCTCGAAGAGCTCGTCACCAAGAGGACCATGCCGTACATGATGGGGCCTGGGACTCTTCTTGCCGCTTGGGCCAAGGTTTGTTTCATATGTGTTGGCTTCAAAACAAGACTCGAGAACCCGCTGCCCTGCTTCATTGACCCCGTTCTTCTGGGGACACCGCGGTGTTGATACCCATGACTAGGAACGGAACCATGATACCATGATACCCCATAACTTACGTTGTGGAGGAACGTGTGCATTATGGGCGTAATAAGGCCTTTATAAAACAATGGATACAACTTGTATCAGGGGCTAAGCTTACTAAAATAGATTACGTAAGCTTAGAGTAGAGTAAATAGAGTATATAGATTTGCGGACATAAAAATCCAACAAAAATATGTCTTGTGAAACAAAGCTTTACCAAGCAAAGTTGCAGCAGAGTGAACCTTGTGCTGCAATTCTGCTTCTGCAATTCTTACTTCAGTGTTAATGTCCTCAATGTAAACTGGTCTCCTAGATACCTAGTTTCTAAATTTTAAAAATAAATTAATCACTCACACAAGTAACAGAAGTTTAGTCTTTTTATAGTTTTGACAAGGCTTGCAGTGAAACTGCAGTAAACTGCGAGTTTCCGCAGTGTAACTGCGGAAACCCTCCAACATCAGAGGAAGCGATACCCGCAGAACTTCACGACTCGACGACTGCCGCTGAAATTTGATTAATACGGTTAAGGGTCGTATTTTAGACGCAACGGAAAGAGTATTTGATTTTAAACTGGATGTAAGTGTAGTTTAACTGCCCAGTCTTAACAACGAAATAAGTTTATTATAAAAATCCCTTGATTTCTTAAATCGCGTTTATCAAGAATTTAAAAACATAGAAGACAGCCAAATAATTCACCATTTCTTGAGAATGAAAGCATTTTGGAGTCCAGCTCCATCGTCATTTCAAAACCTATAGACAAGCAGAATCAATTAGAAAACTAAAATTCACAATGAAGATAAAAACCTAAAGTGACAAAAGAAACAGATAAAACTTACTTTTAGCATAAGAAATGTTTCTTTTGCCAATCGTCCTGAATTTTTTGGCAACTTGCAAAGCCTAGCTTACCGTCATTTTTACGGTTTCAAATCTTATAAAATTTTCTCATCTGTTTTCCAACCCCGTGACACGCATTTGTTAAAGGACTTGGCCAAAAATAAGGACCTTATCATTTGCAAACCAGTTATTCACCACCTCACCCCCCCTTCTTCTTTTTCTTCATTCATTTTACACTTTTTTCCTTTATAATACACACATCTCACAACAATGTCTCTCATTCNTATACTCAAATTAGGAAATTCATGTCTAGGCTATATAATTAATTAAGTTGTTCCGAACTGAGAAGGAGCCTGATTTATTATACTTTTCTCTACTTCGGTAATGCATTTGAGACTATGGCTAAGGAATTGAAAGTTTTGTTCAGCAAATATCCTCCGAATGTTAATCTGCAAGTGGTGTTGGTGAATAACTTTAAGATCGGCTCGCTCTTCAAGTATAAAGATACTCTCCCGCTTTTTATGCGTTCGTCCCGAGTATATAGATTCAGTTGTGCGCAGTGCGCATCAGCGTACGTCGGTATGACGTCTCGCAATTTTTATACTAGGCTCGTGGAGCATAAGGGCCGAAGTTTTAGAACGTGAATATTACTTGCCCATCCTCCTCATTCAGCTGTGCGCGTTTATGCAGAGCAATGCAATGTTCAGGTGTCCGATAGTGATTTTTGAGTTCTAGCTTTCACGTTCGGTGTTACTGACCTACGAATTTTAGAATCCCTACATATCTTTAATCAGAAACCTAATTTAAATGCAGCCTTCAGCTCCTATCCCATTGAAATTGTAAATAGATAGGCCTGCAAGTTCATGTATATTTGTTTTTTTTTATGTCACCTTAGGTTTTTGGCGTCAATGGGAAATTTAGTTTTCTAATTGATTCTGCTTGTCTTATGGGGTTTGAACTGACGATCCCAAATAAAAATTACGGGTGGCGCACCGATGATTATTGGTGGCGATAGTCGATTATAGGTGGCGTAACGGTGGGTGGCCAGATCAGCCGAAAATCGACAATAAAACACCAATAAATCGAAAGGGTGGCGAGTATAGGTGGGAGTCATCGACGAATCATCGATGAGTTATAGGGTCTGAAACATCCATGGCACATTGCAGACAAATCTCTTGTGAGCCACCGATAACCGTTTGCCTAAACTGCACAGTGCACGAAGGTATAATTGCCACTGTAATTTATCCAACTTAGAAAGGTATTATTGGGTTGCGGGTCATTCGAGATCAAGACGAAACCATGACTTCGTTTTGTGTGCTTGGCTTTTAAGATTAAGTTCTGGTAAGAAAATTTATCGTGAATTAGGTAGGTTCCAATAAAACTGATGGCGAGAAGCAAGGCGTTCAAAAAATTGTCACGCCAAAGTGAAGCCACTGGCCATGTATCAGACTGTTCCTGATATAAATTGTCCGATATACAATGAAAAAATTTTGTTGCAATAAATACAGTTTTTCCATAGATGACGGCGAATCCAATTTTTCATGTTCACCTGAAATAATGCGTAAATTTATTGTGAATTTTGCGTATGCGCCAACTGGCTGTGTTGGAAGTATTGCGATCAATTGAGACTAATTATTGTATCATTAAGTATAAATTGTATGAATCAATCAAGTGTGTACCATTATATTTACAATAGTCTCAAGATGCCCCATTTATCTAAACTCAAAAGCCACGTCGACGTAGTCGACAGCGGCTCGGCATCTTCGTAAAGCACAGCGGCTAGACATCGAGCAGCGAGCGAGTCCAGTAAGCACACTTTTTTTTTTTTTTAAATCAAAGTTTATGGGAGCCTCTGAATACTAGTTCAATGTGGCCCCATGACAGGACGGTTTAAGGAAATTACGGTGTTGTAAGGAAAAATTAGGTTCAGCAACAAATTTAGAGGCCATACAAGTAAAGTGATGAATTGATAAATTTTAGTAAATAGAATGAGATAAATTGGGGTGAAAACTTGAATAAACTATGGTACCAAATACGATGTACATGTGAAGACAAAAAGGAAAAAATTTACCGATACTCACTTCAACTGATGGATGTATCCGAATAAGATGATTAATTGTATCTTCGTAGCTTGAGAATATACCTCAATACATATAATAGAAAATGAATAATATTTTCAATATTGCATGTGCCATTAGGTAAAATATCCTTTATCAGAACATTTTCGTCTGTTTCTATGGCTCAGATAAGCGAGCAGGTTGAAATTTTGTCTCTGGAACTTCACATATGTATAAAAAATACAAGCATTGCAAATCACGTTACTTTGCTCTCGACCATCGTTCGTCCTAACAATGGATCAATGTACAGCGGAGTCATGCGCGCACACAATATTAATAAGGCAACGACACATTTCGAATCTGATTCATCTCTAGTCCGAGAGTTGTAACCGAAACCCGAACGACAGCCGCGTCTAAATTTTCACAGAGTAGATATATGAGACAATGCACCGCATCCTCGACTGTCTAATTCGTCATAATTCAGTTCATCTGACAGTCGTTGTTGCCGAAGTTACCACAATATTATTGACAATAATGACAATATAATGTCATTATAGTGGTAACTTCATCATTCTTCCTCTTTAATTGATAAAAATTGAGTATTTCAAATGTTCTGATAACTTTGTTCCATATCTATTCTCTTTTCAACGTACATTGGATTTTCATTTATATTGTAAACGTTACAAGTAAACCAGTACCAGTTGATCACCAGCAATACTAGGAACTCAGTACCCAATTAATGCAGCAAGATTGAGAAATTGGGAGAGTTGCGTATCATTGAATGGAAATATCGAAATACTTCTTTAAAATATGGCTTTTGAACTCATTTCAACTGAACATATGAAAAACGATCGTTTTGGAGACAATATGACAAATTGATATTCCATGATTTTATTGAGTTGTGTTTACATCCGCTTGAGTAAACCAATATATGCTCAGCGCGCCTTGGTCTGCTCTCTCTGAACTCAGCAGAGGCTGTAATTGCGAGGGAACGCTCAGAGAAAATTTAGCCCCATATGTGAGTCAGACGCAAAAGTGGGTCGTAGTGACCCACTGTCTAAAGTTCTTGCAGCAGCAGCTGCGGCAAAACAATAAGTCAGTCAAAGATATTGACCGTTTGACTCAGTTGGCTTTAACCCTAATCGCCACGGGTTGACTGGAAAATGCCCTTAATTTCTAATAACCTCCGTAAAAAAATAACCACGAATCTCACAGCCTTGTGTGTCGAGATACTCCTCAACTGAGATCTATTCTTGGTGTTGGATCAATAATATTTTAGCTCTTTTTATCTATAATAATAAGGCAAGTCAATTAGCAAACGACGTATAAACTTTTGGAACTGAGGGAACTGCCTCCGCTTGTCGGCAGCGAAGTCTCCCCCTGCCCGAGTGAAGCCCGACACACGATATCAGTGTTCCACGAGTTACGGTGGTGTGAGGTAGTTGATGTTACCGCTCCCTCTCATTTCATGTTTATGCAATGGCGTGCAACGATCTGACCGACGATGAGAGAAAAAAGCTGCTGGAACAGATATACTGTGAGATAGTAAGTAGCGACGACGATGATGATGTTGACTTTATCATCAGTGATGATGACACGATGATGACAACGCCTTGCTCGGTGGTTCGCCTCCTGTGGTGCAAGGGGGACTCGCCCGGGGCCGGCAGCTGTTGGCCCCTGGAGCGGCAAAGGATCCACCAGGGGGCGGGGGGCAATGTGGGGTCAAGCCGCAAGGGGAGATGCCCAACACCCCCCCGCTCACAGCAGAGGAAGAAGGGAGTAGCCGCCCCGGACCCCTCTTTAAATACTTTCGAGGCGAGGGCCCCTCGGGGGCCCGCATCGGTGCCTGCCGGACGGTGTCGAGCCGTCTTGGACAGGCTGGCAGCAGCCCTTAGGGTGATTGGACTCCGGTCCATTCACCCGCACCCNTATATAAACTTCTGTTGCAGCCCAGGAAAACGACGAACGCTTACCCCTGATGCGACTGTTGCTAATGACGACGATGCTGTGGGGCTTCCTACTGAGCACTTTCTACAAGACCTTCCTCACGTCTATGCTCGTCCTGCCGAGGGTGGTCGAGCCCTTCAACACCCTCGAAGAGCTCGTCACCAAGAGGCCCATGCCGTACATGATGGGGCCTGGGACTCTTCTTAGCGCTGGGGCCAAGGTTTGTTTCATATGTTTTGGCTTCAAAACAAGGCTCGAGAACCCGCTGCCCTGCTCCATTGACCCCGTTCTTCTTGGGACACTGCGGTGTTGATACCCCATGACTAGGAACGGAACCATGATACCATGATACCCCATAACTTAGGTTGTGGAGGAACGTGCGCATTATGGGCGTAATAAGGCCTTTATAAAACAATGGATACAACTTGTATCAGGGGCTAGTGAGTGAAGAGTGAACCTAATTGTGCTGCATCAATTCTGCTTCTGCAATTCTTAATTGAGTGTTAATGTCCTCATTGTAAACTGGTCTCCTGGATACCTAGTTTCTAAATTTTAAAAATAAATTATTCACTCACACAAATAACAGAAGTTTAGTCTTTTCTATAGTTTTGACAAGGCTTGCAGTGAAACTGCGGTAAACTGCGAGTTTCCGCAGTGCAACTGCGGAAACCCTCCAACATCAGAGGAAGCGATACCCGCAGAACTTCACGACTCGACGGCTGCCGCTGAAATTTGATTATTACGGTTAAGGGTCGTATTTTAGACGCAACGGAAAGAGTATTTGATTTTAAACTGGATGTAAGTGTAGTTTAATTGTCCAGTCTTAACAACGAAATAAGTTTATTATTAAAATCACTTGATTTCTTAAATCGCGTTTATCAAGAATTAAAAACATAGAAGACAGCCAAATAATTCACAATTTCTTGAGAATGAAAGCATTTTGGAGCCCAGCTCCATCGTCTGTTCAAAACCTAAAGACAAGCAGAATCAATTAGAAAACTAAAATTCCCATTGAAGATAAAAACCTAAAGTGACAAAAGAAACAGATAAAACTTACTTTTAGCATAAGAAATGTTTCTTTTACTAATCGTCCTGAATTTTTTGGCAACTTGCAAAGCCTAGCTTACCGTCATTTTTACGGTTTTAAATTGGACTTCTATCAATACTTTTTAGCCTTTGTAAGACTTGCTCTTAGTTTAAAAAATGTTTCTTTTACTAATCGTCCTGAATTTTTTGGCAACTTGCAAAGCCTAGCTTACCGACATTTTTACGGTTTCAAATCTTATAAAATTTTCTCATCTGTTTTCCAACCCCGTGACACGCATTTGTTAAAGGACTTGGCCAAAAATAAAGACCTTATCATTTGCAAACCAGATAAGGTAAAGGGAGTCGTATTGGTTGATCGCAATCGTTACAACAGTAGTCTTTCTTCTCCCATGCATTACAGACCCTCCTAAATCTATCGAAATTATGGATCCAATTGCTAAAACTATTTTGAAAATTGAGAATAAATTTGAAACTTTTTAAGAAGACTTAAAGACTCCGCTGCACTTACGTTGAAAATTATTTGAAACTTTCTGCCTCTGGCTCTTGTCCAGGTATTTTGTATGGCTTGCCTAAAATTTATAAGCCAGATTTCGCTTCGAAATTTCAATATCGCACCATTATTGCTGCTTACAACACTCCGAGTTTCAAGCATGCTAAATTTTTGGTCCCGGTGTTGAACTGTTTGACAACCAATTAATATACGTTAGACAATTCTTCCGTTTTCGCAGACCGTTTGAAAAGTTTCACGAATGTTCAGGATTTAACTATGGCTTCTTTGATGTAGAGTTTGACAACCAAGCAATATAGGGTAGACAATTCTTACGTTTTCGCAGACCGTTTTAAGAGCTTCACGAATGTTCAGGATTTAAATATGGCTTCATTTGATGTAGAGAATTTGTTTACAAATAAACCTCTCCATGAATCCCTCTTATGTGGGCCTTTTCGTTGATTATCTTAACCTCCAACATCAGTCAATAAAATTCACCATGGAGCTTGAAACCAACAATAGTTTATCTTTTCTCAATTGTAATGTTACAAAAACAAATGAATGTTTCCAGACCTCTGTATTCCGGAAGTCAACGTTTATCGGCTTAGCACCAGCTTTTTTAGTTTCTGCTCATTTCGTTTCAAATTAAATGGGATTAAAACATTAATAAATCCTGGTTTCCGTATTTGCTCAACATTCAATACTCTTCACACTGAATTTGAATTTTTGCGTTGCATCTTTTCATTAAATGGGTTTCCGTAGCAATTGGTTTATACCCAAATTAGTAAATTCATGTCTAGGCAAAATAATGAAGTTGTTCCAAATTGTGAGAGAAGGAACCTGATTTATTGTTCTTTTCCCTACTCCGGTAATGCATTTGAGACTATGGCTAAGGAATTGAAAGTGTTGTTCAGCAAATATCCTCCCAGTGTTAATCTGCAAGTGGTGTTGGTGAATAACTTTAAAATCGGCTCGTTCTTCAAGTATAAAGATACTCTCCCGCTCTTGATGCGTTCGTCCCGAGTATATAGATACAGTTGTGCGCAGTGCGCATCAGCGTACGTCTATACGACATCTTGCAATTTGTATACTAGGCTGGCGGAGCATAAGGGCCGAAGTTTCAGAACGTGAATATTACTTGCCCATCCTCCTCATTCAGCTGTGCGCGTCTATGCAGAGCAATGCAATGTTAAGGTGTCCGATAGGGATTTTTGAGTTCTAGCTTTCACGACCGGTGTTACTGACCTACGAATTTTAGTATCCCTATATATATTTAAACAGAAACATAATTGAAATGCAGCCTTCAGCTCCTATCCCATTGAAATTGTAAATAGATATGACTGTCAATTCATGTGTATTTGTTTTTTTCTTATGTCACCTTAGGTTTTAGCTACAATGTGAATTTTAGTTTTCTAATTGATTCTGCTTGTCTTATATAGGGTTTGAACTGACGATGGAGCTGGACTCCGAAACGTTTTCATTCTTAAGAAATGGTGAAATTTTTGGCAGTTTTTTTTTTTTTTTGCTTTTAAATCCTTGAGGTGTAATATATACGTGGAAGATCTAATGTACTAAGTTGAATTATGGATTCATGATGGGTATGAAATATTGCTTCATAGCCTTTTTGGACTCTTTGTCAAGGGTAAGCATCACGTTCGCGAATTTACAGGAAATGCTGGAAATTATGACTAAATGTTCTCGTGTTGGTCTTTGTTATTTTAGAGCATGCGAAATTAAAGAATTTTTTAATATATGCTGTCCAATTTAATTATCTTATAGACTAAAAATACTACAGAAATTACAAAAAGCTCTAATAAATTCGAATATTATTGCCCGATGATATTTATTATTCGAATCGAAACCTAAATTACCACTTTTTTGGCTTCAGGAGGCAGAACCAAACTCTACATTCGGCAAGCTATATCGAAACGTCGGCTTATGGGAGAACGATTATATCACCTCCATGGAAAAAATTGTATCTGGAAAGTACGCTTTCGTTGGCGTCCAATCCGCAATGTACGGAGTCATCGACGCCGTTTTTGCGAAGGTGAACGTCCTCCCTCACAAGACTTATTCTGTTTAAATTTCAACAGAAGTTAAGTCTTCGCATACTAGAAAATGGAGGCTCGTCCTAATATCGCCAAAAGTGCACTCAGGTTTTTTGCAAATACTCTCTTGCTGGAACAAAATGTGCCCCTTACTATTAAAGGGGATTACTCTAGAAAAATTCAACGTGTAATTGTTACACACATTAAACATTGCTTTTATCAACAGACCCGTACGTGCCCTCTAATCGTCAAAGACAACTTCCTCCCCTTCTCGCTCCATGTGGGCTTTCGTAAAAATTCTCCGTACACGGCTCCGTTCAACAAACAGTAAATATTTTCTTTATAATTTTGAGCCATCTCGGCATAAATATAACTGAAGAAAATATAACTATGGTGATACCAAGAGATTATGAACATTGAACCTGTCAGAATGAGTGCAATGCAATCGTGCCTTGAAGGATTTCTTCTATTGGCGCTCGCCTAGACAGTAAGTTTGTTGCCTTACAAACTAAAAGCTGCCACTTGACCTGGCTGCTTCAAGTCGTCCCATGTACACACTTCTAGGGAAGCTGTATTGTTGGTGCATTTGTTCACCATCAGGAAAATTGTGGCTAGGGGAGAACGTATTATTGCATGTGTTTATTTAACCCAAGGGGTAACTTTGCGCAGTGAGAGTGCAGAATTGTACGTGCATTTATTTATTGCTCAGGGTGCTGCTATACGATAGCGGTTCCCTGCGTTCATTGGTTCATTCTGGGAACATTTATTTGCTGCGCAGGGTGATGCGCCTGAGGGAGAGCGGTATCCTGAATATGCTCGAGAAGAAGATGAGGACTGCAATGATCTGCTGGACCGTCACCAAAGAGGAGCAGTCTCTTCGACCGCTCGAGTTGAAGGACTTCTATGGCGTCTTTCTGCTCTATTTCGGTGGTGAGCAATCGCTGTCAACAATTTTTAAGCCTACAATGCATTCGCATTAGTATGCCTCTGAAGATAAATACTAAAAATTGAGTGCGAAGGCAGACGACAAGACGTTAATAATTTTGAAAACCCTTGTTTAATCTTTGCAACTATTGCAACTAATTTGCCTACCTAAGAAATGGCATTACTAAACGCAAAGGCCTTAATTTTTTAATATTTTGTTTATTTTGGATTAAAAACTGTGTTTTAGGTATACAGAACTCTATAAATGGACTGTACACGTGTATACGTACACGTGTATATCAATTCGTAAAAAATCAAAATATTGAACATTCCCGCATCTGCATGAGTAAAAGTGATTCGCGTCAGCTGACCCTGGACAAATTATCACCAGTTCACGTCTGCGATGAATTTTTCTAAAAATTTACCCATGTTCTCAGGATTTTTTTTATCTCGTATAATGGTTACTGGAGTGGATATTTTCTATCCCCGGCAGGCTTGGGCTTGGCTACAATATCGTTCATCGTTGAATTAGGCTTCCGCAGCTGGAAGAAAGATTCCAGGAGCAGCTAGAGCTTCAGCTCACGATGAACTACGTGCAATCAGGATACCTACTCCAGCTCACACCGACTTACTGTTGCTGTGTTGAAAGTGAAACTCGAGTTGGCTGCTCCAATAAATTTGAATAAAACAATTTTAAATAAAATAACACTACTACAAGAACGTGCTCAACGACGACATTACTGCAATGCATTTATGCCTGGAGGGCAATACAAGTAAAGTGAAGAATTGATGAATTTTAGTAAATAGATTGAGATAAGTGGTGGGTGAAAACTTGAGTAAACTATGGTACCAAATATAATGTACATGTGAAGACAAAAGGAATAAATTTCACGATATTCACTTCAACTGATGCATGTATCCGTATAAGATAATTAATTGTATATTCGTAGTTTGAGAATATACCGCAATACATATAATAGAAAATAAATAATATATTCAATATTGCATTTGCCATTAGGTAAAATATCCATTATCTGAATATTTTTAAATTTTTGTCTGTTTCTATGGCTCAGATAAGCGAGCAGGTTGAAATTTTGTCTCTCTCTGGAACTTCACATCTGTATAAAAAATACAAGCATTGCAAATCACGTTACTTTGCTTTCGACCATCGTTCGTCCTAACAATAGATCAATGTACAGCGGAGTCATGCGGGCAGACAATATTAATAAGGCAACGACACATTTCGAATCTGATTCATCTCTAGTCCCAGAGTTGCAACCGAAACCCGAACGACAGCCGCGTCTAAATTTTGACAGGGTAGATATGAGACAATGCACCGCATCCTCGACTGTCTAATTAAGCATAATTCAGTTCATCTGACAGTCGTTATAGGGCGCCTTGGTCTGCTCTCTTTGAACTCAGCCGAGGCTGTAATTGCGAGGGCACGGGTGCAAATGAGAATAATGGGAGTTCAACAAACAGAATTATCACTGGCGAAACGCCTCCGGAAAGACTAAAATAAGAATTACTAACCATTGAAGAAAAGCCATAAAAGATGTTGAAGGCATCATATGTGTAGGAAATTTTTCCGTTCTCAGAGAGTTATCCTATTCCCTAATAATGATGTAACAAGGATTGAAGCCAGTGACGAGAATTAAAGGTTGTTTAAACAGATTTAAATTGATTTCTTCTGCTGTACAAGATGCGGTTAATTACTTTCATCGAGGTGATCCAAAATAAAAAAATTAGCATCCAGGTCAACTTAATTAGGGGAGCGTCTGGCCACTTTTTTTCTCGGTTGTTTACAGTTGGATCACTTTGAAACTTGGTACACCATTGTAAAACCGAAAAATAGACAGCTTTTATTCATGTCCATTTTTGGAAAAAAATGAAAGAAAACGTGAAATTCTTGGAAAACGACCAAAAAAGGGGGTACTGTAGAAATCTATCTCCTCCTAGGATTTTCAAGCTACAACATTGAGACACATATCATTCGATGAGTAAAGACCATATCTATCGATTTATCTTTGCGTTTTTCGAAATTCGAATTTTGGTGGATGGGGGAGCATTTTTGCAAAACTTTTGGAATTTTTTTCGATTTTCTTCTATTTCTCCCCCTTTTTTAAAAATATTTTCAAAACTATAGCGAAATTAAAAAAAATGCCAAGATAAATCGATAGATATTTTAATTGCGAATCAAATGGTATATGTCTCATCGCTGTAGCTTCAAAACTGTAGGAGGAAATAGGTTTTACCGTGACAATAAGTGTGAATGTTCAGTACAGCCCAACAAAGTCCCGCGCGCATTGCAATAGGCACTCAATGTAGCAAGGATACGAAACTAAACGTTAGTGGAGCTCGATTTCACTCAAGGATGGTGGGAGCGGCTGCATGCACACCTCCTCATGCGAAGCCAGGCGGATTACTGAGCTGTTCCTCAAGCAGGCACTGTATTTGAAGTGTTATGAACCGAATTAACTCCTATCTAATTTGTTAAAGAACTCCCCCACCCTCCCCCTTTCATGATCTGTCCTGAACGCTTAAATCAACGTACAGAGATGATTTTGGTTCTGTTGGATAGAGCAGAAAGAGAGCTTTAAGATTAAGGTAGTGGTATTAAGATTAAGGTGGTGCGCAGCCGCGCACCACCAATTTTGTGCACCAATAGGCCCGGAATCGAACGCCTTGGATCTCTCCGGACATCCGCCAATCAGCCGTGAACCACTCGGCTTTGTCTTCCTCCGGCCTCGCATAGAACCTGCCGTGCACCACCAAGCCGCGGTTCGAATCTGACTTACGGGCATCGTTAAATTACGTAATTTTACGTTCAACGTACCTGAGGTTAGGTTTCAGATAGCATAGTTCTGTTAGTTTCAGATAGTTTGGCGTAACTCACCAATAAAGGCAGTGCTTGTCAGCTACGCTAAAGTCACTAAGGTTTGCTACAGCAAGTTGATAATGCCGTTACATGGGTTGCTAACTGTGTAGCTACTGGCTTCCAACTGACATGTCGCGGTCGATTGCTACTGTTGCTGCATCCCATTCAGTGCTTTCTGGAACTTAATTTACACCCTTATAATAAGAAAGAGTAAGGAAACAATGAATATTCTCTCTGGAAATATTTGTGACTCTTTAATGGAGCCGGTTGTCGTTATTGGGCATTATTAGTCTCACATTCTCTTGTACAAAATGACTTAATTTACAAGAACGTTTCATTGCATTATTTTATTAAATTTTTTAAATAATTTAAAAGCTTGATCGTTCAAGATTAATTTTTTAGCTGCTAGTGTTTTTAGCCAGACAAATTTGCTACCATTCAGTTTATATTCAAGCTCCCTGACCCATAGACGGGTTCACTCCATATTAGACGACGTCCATAGAATGGACGAATAGACGTCCATAGAATGGACGAATAGACGTCCATAGAATGGACGAATTCCAGACGGGTCAACTCCGAATGGATTTCGTCCATTCTTGTATGTTAGGCGGCTAATACGACGAATATCTAACGGCAAATGAGGCGGCTCTTTATTTTTAGCAGTTTAGCTATCGGGCGATCTGCCGCCAGGGTAGTTTAGTTGCCGATGATCAGTCGGATAGCAATTAAGACAGCTGGCGGTGATGTGGCTGAAGCTGGTAGACGAAATTCCCTACAATCGCTGCATTGTCTTTAGTTGCCACGGATGCCGTGGCCTCTTCATTAGCCAGTTGCCATGAGGGTAATATCTCAGACTCTAAAGAGTCGACCTCATCAGAGATTGATTTAGAAACATCAACTTCATCCATAATGAATCTCCGGGGTTATTCTTCTGCTACCATAGTGTTTTTTAAACGATGTTAATGCTTGGTATGATGCGGATGCATGTCATGGTATGGATGTATCTCATGGCGCCGATGAATGACAATATGTGGATGCTTGGCATAGAGTTGATGCATCATGATATGGTGTTCATCATGAACCACATAGCTGGACGCGTTTGCGACAGTGATTGTAGAGAACTGCCGGACTCAGAGCGAGAATTACGAACTGGCTTGCGAGATTTACGAACGAGTCGAGATAATCTTGTCATTCAAGCCACGAACTGAGGACATGTAACGAGCCCAACAAGCCTACGCATGAATCTCAGTGCCTGTAGTTCTAGAAATCAGGTAACAGCGGCTCCCATCGCTTGTTACTTTCGAGCGAAGGGATTAACTCATTACTGCGTGTAATTAGGACCAATAAAGCTGTGCTGTATCAGTTTGCGTGTTTGAAACTGGCATCACAAATAAACAGGAGCTGCTGGAGGTGCGTGTATCCACTGTACCTTAGTATCCTTAGTATCTTTATTATTTGTTTGGGACGTAGCAGTCCCAGGCCACGATGGATCGCCGCCTCTGATTATCGTTCATCCGCCCTCATTTGGGCCACCTGATACCTAGCTATATATAGCGTGAAGTGATTGTCTAAATATGTGAAATTTAACATTTAGCGGGGGAGTCACGATTGAATTCGCACGAATACCAGCGTTTGGCGAGAGCCACCGTGAGGAAGCTTGACCAGCAGCTATTTTCTGTTATATTAAGCAGATTTGATCAATTGGGCAATCAACTAAAAAAAGGTTTCTAAATAGCTGCAGAATGCACCAAGTGGTCGATTAACGCCTGATCCGCCTCAAAGGTGACTCAATAGACTCCGGGGTGTCCCAAAATGGAAAACAAATTTCGACCGGGTATGCGATTGAGTCATCAAAATTTTGTTAAGTATTTGTTAACTCTCTAAATATTTTGTCACAGAAGAAGTAATGAGGAGAGAAGTGACTGCTATAGCCTCTATGACAAGCTCATGTCGTGACTCCAGTCGAAGGTCTGGAGAAAGTTCAAACCTTTCTCTACGAATATATTAGCTAAATATTTATCCACTAATACATTAACTGAACCTATATCCACTTATATATTGAGTTAACCTTCATCCACTAACACATTAAACAAATGTCTGTCCATAAATATATTAACCAACCTTTATCCACTAATACATTAACTGAACCTATATCCACTTATATATTGAGTTAACCTTCATCCACTAACACATTGAACAAATCTCTATCCATAAATACAGTAACTAACCTTTAACCACTAAAGCATCAACAAAACTTTTTCCACTAATATATCAAGGGGAGCGTCTGCCCCTTCTTAACACTTTCTACACAATTTTTGTAGTTTCTGAGCTTTGAATGCGGGCGCATTAGTACGCCAAATATTACGCATTAAAATTATCTTAGTAATGGCGGATCGGTAGTTGTATTTTAGTTGATTCATTACCATGCGTTTCGGTATGTTTTCAGAAACGTTGAAATTTATCAATATGACCGCTAGCTCTTTTCCAACTGTCTGGAGTTGCCTCGTTGTCCTCTCAAATATTCTTATATCTTTAGCTGTCTATGTTCATTGTTTTCAGCGATTGTTTTCTTTAACTATACAAATTTTTGCTCGCTAAATACTGCAAACAATCAACAGTATTGTTGATTCCTATCCTTCCTGCTCCCATGTACGATAACCAACGCACAGAGACTGCGATCCATTGGGCGACAAGGGGAAGGGTGGTTCGCCATTTCGTGGCTCATTTGAGTAGTTTAGAGCTCTTTCAAAATATCTCCATAGAAATATAAAAATTTAAAATATTTATTCCGACTACCCATTCTGCTCGCTGGGCTGGTGGGACAAACGACTAGAGCACGACGCAACAAACAACTAAAGCACGTACGAATGGAACACACCTAGGTGGACTGTTACTAAGATCATTGACATACAAGTTAATTCAACGTAGGGACTGAAATTACAATCTATCATTCCACTCTTGAGTTAATCATCTCCCTACAATCGTTATTTTCATTATCATCTTCACTATCATCACCATAAGTCACATAATCACTGCCATCAGAAAATAAAAACCAACATTTTAAACAAAGAAAATATACTTAAAAATTGTCCATACACAAATTTGAAAATGAAAATAAGACATGTTGAAGACAAAATATGACTCAATCGCGAAACAACACAAACATTGGCGAGTTTATTTGTTTAAAAATGTGGCGTACTGTTACAGGGCTGTCAAAAATTGAAAAAAATCCTCCCAACAACGACAGCCAAAATACTCATCTCGCGACCTTAACACTTAATTAACGTACTTAATTTTAAAACAATCAATCGTTTTATTTACATTTTAATTCTGCCATGTTAGGAGAATTTACGAAACAAGTATTTACAAATTAAATTCTCCAATGGAAACCAATAACTAATGACGGCTAAAAGTTTTTCATTTTTGTCATCGCACTAAAACTAGGGACGAAGCAAATTGATTAATAGATTCGAAATGTTATTAGATTACTAGATTCTCTTATTACTAAGGGCGACTGGCTCACTTTTCGGTACCAAAGTTGTTCGCCTTGCACAATTTTCCGTCTTCTCGTGTTATTTCATTTTTCATTTCATCGCCACCTCTTTGTCAGAGGTAGCGAGGACACACATTTGGCACCTCTTAATCTTTTAACTCAAACTGGAACCACATAAACGCAGTATGTGAAGCATGGGATCTTTTGCCCGCGTCACTGTAACAAACTATAATGTGCACTGAAATAAAACGTATATCTTTTCAACAACCAGATACGACACCTAAAGGTGATTAAAATAGCACAATACAGAGATAACAGAAAAATTAACACCTTTTTCTGACTGCCCCCATGCTCTGGCATCTAATGAATTTTTTTTATGTCACGCAGAAAATTTCCTAATGCTAGAGCAATAGTCGAAAAAATATAACTCAGTACTCAGTGCAGTGAGTGACAGAGAGCGTATTTTCTCGTCGACGAAAACGTGAAGTCACGGACACCCAGACGGACATGGTGCATTTTTCCATAAATGAAATGGTGCATTTTTCCATAAATGAAAAATTGCGCTACAAATAGAAAAGGTGGTAAAGATGTTGCATAATGTATTTACGATCAAAATACCCTTTACTTCTTGTCTCATCTCTCATAAAGTTAAACCCCTCTTCCATTTTACGCCAGAGAGACGTCATGGGTGTCAGCAGTAGACAAAAAAATGTATGAAAACAATTTTTAAAGACCACGTTTTTCATGTGGACTCAAAAGTAGAAAATAATTTTTCGGCAGCTGCTGATCTCTGTTTGCTTTCATTCTCTTGGTCTTTTGTATTTCAGTTAAAATATTTTACAACATCTAAAACGAAAAACGTGGGGCGCATCTTCATTTAGGCATGCCTTAATTTCAATTTTGAATTCAACCACTATTTCGAATTATATCAGCAATACACTTATCAAATGTTCAATGAACCATCATATTCATCTATCAAGTAATCACCAAACAATTAAATACATATGCGCCCCCACGTTTTTCGTTTTAGATGTTGTAAAATATTTTAACTGAAATACAAAAGACCAAGAGAATGAAAGCAAACAGAGATCAGCAGCTGCCGAAAAATTATTTTCTATTTTTGAGTCCACATGAAAAACGTGGTCTTTAAAAATTTTTTTATACATTTTATTTTCTACTTTTTAGTTTTTAAGTATTTAATTTTCTCCTTTTTAGTCCGTTGCTACACACGAAACACGTTGTTGCGAGCCAATTTACTTGACTCGACGTACGTATCGATGATACGAAGCGTATCATCGATATCCGCAGTCTAAACACGAATATCCTCTCGAGGATGACGTGCATTAAAGGTTCCAAACCCCTGCTTGTGAGTTCCTTTAGAGTTTATAACTACTGCAAAAAGGTCAACCATCCTACCTAATATCCATTTCATTTCAGTTGGCCACGCATATGCACAAAAGAAAATTCTTTTCAAATTTCTGTAGAAAATTGTATTCGAGGGGATACATTGTTGTTCCCGTATTTATCTGGGTGCGTGACTGTAATAAAGAAAGGTTCAGTAATATATACGCCTGGAAACGTGCAACAAATCATTGATTATTGTATTGTTATCGGTAGCTGAGCTTCCCTAAAAGTTTCAGAGCGCTAGCTAGCGGGAAAGTTGGTGAAATATCGATCGCAAGATTTGATCATCACAGACACGAAAGCGAGCTAAGAAAAACGTGGTAATAAACAATCCATTGATTATATTACTGCGGTCAATACTCTCCCTTTAGTATTAATCGAGAACTATCCCACTAAAGTTATCATCCTCGAACCTGAACTCGAGCTCACTTCTGTTTCCAGGGGGCAAGTCACGGTGAGTGGGTGGCCGGAGGATCTTCACAGAGGCGGAGTCGCCTTCGGTGTGCGCTGTTGATGGGAAATGGATGTTATTTGAGCTGCTATGTCGATACGTATACTCGCAAGACGAAAACAGTAAACAGTGCATGTTATGACACTTTTTACCGTGACGTCACTGCCCTTTTTTACCGTGACGTGCAAAGGACGCGCGGTCATATCCCTTACCCACTGCATGCGATGCCTAGTAAGATTCCTCATCCTATTCCATGGCGTCGCTGCAAATGTAAAAATGCTCATCTAACCTCATAGCGTTCTTAGAAAAGCCAATTCCAGTCCCAAATTTCTTCAAATAAAGACTTTCTAAGCAAAAAATGCATCTTCCTGAAATCTATCAAGCCCCTACCTTAATTCAAAGCTTCAATAGCGAATTTTTTCCACTTTTGTACGAGGCCCGTAATGGCGTGTTTTGTCCATCACAGTATTATAGTCAGCCAAACTTGAGCAAACTCAATGCTGCCAAATCTCGAATCAAAGTTTTCTGATGCTCACGATGTCTTCACATAAATCAAGTATTCACAATTACTAAAAATCTCCCAATGAAGCCTTCCTTCCCAAAATATGTCGCAATCGAGGCTTCTTAACGCTACAACTCCCGTATAAGCTCAATTTGCTACACAGCGGCTTGTACGCAACACGCCTGGAAACCATTGCCCTGGAAACAAATTTCAACTCAGTAGAGTTAGAACCGGCCAATTTTTTCATCGAATGGCCGTCATACGCTCACTGACTACGCAAATTAAGTGCAATTTACTTATGATTCTTACATCCAACCCGCAGTCTCGAGTGACCCACAACTCTCAAGCGATAATAATCATTTCATACATTAAAGAATCTGCAAAAAGTAGGCGGGAAACAAGCGAATAAAGGAGACGTGAACCATAAGTATCTCTCAACATAGAACTCAATATGAAACTGGTGTAAATAACAAACCCGCCTTCAACAACAACTGTCCCTCAGCTGTTTCTCAATCAATCATACCCATAACTGAACCTAATATACATACTTACACGCAGCAACTCAACCATATACACTATTTTCATATCCTTCTATAATTTCATTTAATCCCTTCGCTTTCTGGCATCTTTAAACTTATGACTGGCGTAATTATGAAGTTATGGTGAAAAATATAAGAATTATGGGATACAGCTTTAAAGCTTTATACGGTAAAAGTGGAATATGCGGGTGAAACATTATGGTGCTGAAATTTCATGCATATACTTTGATAGATAAGTAATAATTCAAAATTCTTAAATGTTCATCGTTTGTGTTACCAAACAGGAAACAAGACAATATTGACGCTGGATATTAGTGGTAAAAAAGATAGAAAATATATGCTTACTTACTTACATTAGATAGAAAATGAGATTTCAGGCAAAATACTTGTTTGATTGTCGATTATTTGACCCAAAATAACATTCAGTGGAATTACATGTACTATGCGACTCAAAGGCAAGTAACATGAGCATCGTCCCGTCTCTGTTTGTGGCTGAAATGGCCACTACCTGCTATTAGGTATCACTCCTACCTCATATTATCTCTCAATAAAGTCATCTTAACGCCACAAAAAACTCACGCTGAAATCCTTTGTAGCAGTTGTTTCGAAACTGTGGAAACTGGGGATAAATTAACCTTGGATTTAATTGTGGATGCAAAGCAGGGTTGAAGCAGCAAGTCAAATGATTAATTTTGCCATATAAATAATTGTTGATAACATTATGTGGATGACATGCTTATTGAGTGATGTTTACTTAGATAATTAACAAGGAAAAAAGCAGGGCAGCCCCGGCTCACGTCCATACCCATGAGGCTCGGCACGTGTGGTGCCTGCATCGTTGGTCTTCAGCCTCTTCTCGTGCAGGGTCAACAGCAGCAGTCGCTCCTCCTCCTCGCTTAGCGCAGACTGCCACAGCTCAATTGCCAACAACCTGTGATCAGATACAAGATTAGAGTTAAAAAAATGATACTAAAACAACACATTGAAAAGGAATGAAAATCAGCAACTCTCTTGGGCTTCAATTGTGATTACGATTAGTCGGATATTTTCAACCAACAAAATTTGTACCAAAATAAAAATGAGGATTTTTGAACTAACTCAGCTAAAGCACAATACATAGTATGAAACAAGGCCTAAAAACTGTTGCATGCAACCACATCCATGAGTGTAATTAGCGGAAGAGACTTTTTTTATTAGTCTTTCTCACGGCCGGCCTTAAACTGGCTTTGTTTGTCGTTGTAGCATTCCCCACCAAGTAATTTCGCAATAACTTTTCAACTGTTGTGTTGCAACTTTTCGCAACAAGTCGCGAATAAGATGGCATTCCAAATTTTTAGATGGTTCTCAGATTAGCACTTCCCATGAAAACTTTTTAGCCCAGCAGTAGTCATTGTGATGAATTTTGCTCATTTATGTTCATGCTTTTCCAATATTGAAAGTTATTTTTCCATAACGAGTATATAAATCGTAGAATGCCACAGAAGTTCTAAATTTTTAGATGCGTCAAGCCCGCAAATCTACTAACTTTTTGCATCTTGGTGCAAAAGTCAGCACCGTCCTGGCCACGGCCTCCCAGGTGCCAGCACCGGGGCTGAGAACCTGCAGCACGGGAGAAGGCAGGGCTGGTAGAGGCGCTGCTGCAACAGCCGTGTCAAGTACGGGCGTGCAAACGTCTGTTGGGGAAGTATGGAATGAAATTACCTTGTCGATCAATGTATTTCACGCAACATGCGTGCACTGTGCATGAGGGAAATGAAATTAACTAACTCTAAGCCTAATTAACTCCATCATGTACGAAGGCCTGTAGTGAAGGTTAAATAAACTAGAAATGCCTCGTGAGCCTCAATCATGGGTTTCTGCCCATGTTGACAAAAACTAAACGAAATTTATACGTACGGTCACAATTTTTCATTCAAACCGCCCCCGAAATTGAGAGGACTTTTAGCCTGAGGGGATGTAAATAAACTGCAAAGACAGGTGCTTGAGTAAACATTTTACATTATCACTCGCAAGTAAGTTCATAGTTTAGCGATTAAAATTGTTCAACAACGGCACGTAGATCTCTTGTTAGTATATTTACAATTATTCGAGATACAGTGATATAACTGTTACCAGTAGATTGTAAGAAAAACTCGTGCTCTATCGAGTTTAGGAGCAAAATTCTATTCAGACAATAGAGAGTAGCGAGAGTCATGAAGCCATTCTGCCAGCAGAAGCTGAACGGGCAATTCCGAAGAAAAAAAGGCAGAATAAAACTCCCCCCAAATGAGCGGCTTTTGAAGTTCCACTCTGTTCACTAACATATCAATACATTTGATGTGTGCTGGCTTCTAACACTGAGAATACTGACGCAGTTCAGCGTATTTCCCGTGCAGTGCGCTGAGGTTGAGCGGCGCCTCGACCCTGATGTGTATGGACGCTGAAGCCGCCGCTGAAGCTAGCGCCGCGATGCCTGCCTCCGTCCTGATGTGCCCCTGGAAACTTTTGATCTTGGAACTGTAGGGAGTTGAGAATATGTGAGAGTTGGGGTAAATGAGCAGGAATCAATTGGAATCTAATTCAAGATTGGTTGAGGTGTAGCACATTTCAGAAGCCGCCCTAGAATAGTAATCGAAGCAGTAAAATGTTTTTCATTTTGAATAACTTTGAGCTCAAAGCGGTTTGACGGGATTTATATTTAGGATTTTCATTAAGAAGACATTTTACGATGAAAATTTCACATTTTAGAAGACTTAGTTCTAATATTAGGAAAATTCACTGATTGAGCCGTTGTATAAATTCTTTTCTTCGATACATTGCAGAAACTTTCAAATAGGGCATACTGCATTCAATATATTGATAGGCAATCCTTGCGTTGCTCGGCAACGATAATTCTACAGTTCTGACAAGTCTCGATAAAGAACGTAAATTTAATTTCTAGACCAGTTTTGATTTTGATTAAATAAACATCCATTCAAGCCCTACTAAGATCTTTGAAGTAAACGATAATTGAACACTCATCGTCCATGTCTCTAGCAAAGCTTTGACTTCTTGAATTCAAGATGAAAAGGATATAAAATTTTCTATTTAACCTACGTTTAGCGCTATAACCCGTGATACATTCAAAATTAGGTCCCGAATCAGGTAATATTTGTAAATAATGTATCCTAAATACGATAAGTATTGAAGATACCAATCGGAGGCGATTAGTATTGAGGAACCGCGCACGAATCATCCTATTTTTTACAGTTCCAAGATTCAGTCACACAAACACGAGCTCTAAAATACAATATGTGCAGAGGAAAAGCAGCTCGTTGCATGTCGTGCACAATATGAGGCCGAGGCTTGATACAGTATAAGATAAGGCAAATGTTTTCCGCAAATTTCGAATTATTAGTGAGATTGAACACTGATAATAAACCTAAAAGTTATTGGGATATTATAGGGCCAACTTAGTCTAACATCGCAAGATGAGCGGACAATATAACGTATAATTTACCTGCTGCTGAGTAGAGGCTGCAGCACGTCATCACATGGTGTAAAATCAAGGCTCATGTCCAGAATTTCCAGCTGCATTATTCCGGTATGATGCTTTAAAGCCTGTTCCCAAGCTGGGCTTCTCAAAGCTTCTAACGAAGCCTTCACCTTGACGAGCGTGTCTTGCGCGTAATGCAGCATCAGTGCAACCGCTTCCAAGTCGCGCGCTTTAAAGGACAGCTTATTCAGATTTTTCACACGGTAATTTTATAAATAAATATATTGAAGTCAGTATTGCATATCACAACTAATCGGTAATGCTTTAGTTCCAGTTCATCGTGCTAGCCATAGAGTAATGGTATAAAATAACTCCCAACGAAGTCGCGATCCATAACTGAATGTAAAATGAATCGATTGATCGGTCGGCATGTGAGATTACACGCTTAATTATTTGGACCAAGGAAATAAGAATAACACTAAATCGGCACAGGACATCATAAGTTGCAAACAATCATGTAGCTGTGCTCTTAATTTTGTGTGCGGGTGACATATAAAACGAATGAATCGCCACATTCCATCATACACAAGCGCCCAGACAATAACCCGTACGGCAAATCATATGCGGGTAATGCATGCAGAACGTAAATCGTTCAACTTTATGGCCAATGCGTGCATGCGACTCACTGCTCTGTATCATGAACTGCTCGTTTTCCTTCCGAGTTATTCGAGCAGCGAACTCGGCGAGCGCGGGCTCGTGAGGACGGCTCAGCAGCACCTCCCACCAGTGGCGCGCTGAGGCGCCCGCTTCCTCCATCGCCCTCCTCAGCTCCGGCCACTGGGCCTCGAAGTCCCCGGCGTCCCGGGACTGTAGCTGAGCGATGACTTGCTGCACGGCACTCGCAGTCCTACGAATAAAAATGTTCACTCACATAGGCGATGATCGACTCTGGATATGTCGATTGTATTAAAACACCGAGTGAAGAACCGTCCAAGGTGTGAAATCTTGCATTATGTTTGTTTACTGATATATGGCGCGCGAATGAAGGTTTGTTAATATAATTGTAGACTGAATCAGGCAACACTCGCAGCATCTGGGATCTCTTGGCCAAAAATTTAGAATTAATCTAGAAGCGGTAAAGTTATTTGACGCACATGGAATTAACTCATATGTGACGTATTATACACCCAGCACACTCACAAGGTTGAGTGTGGATCACCCATCACTCAGCAAGGGAAGTCAAGGTCACACAAAACTCACCCTGTAAAGTCCGGCAGATCGTCCGCCACAAATAGCTCCAGGTGCCCTTCACTGTTCAGTGGCAGGGGATTTAAGAATTGTAAGTTTCACAATTAAATCAACACTAACAATTATTTCACAGAAAACCTTCATAAAAATTAAGTGAATTAGATGCTTCATACTCGATTCACCAGCTATAAAATAAGTTGTTACTAATTACGTTAGGATTAATTTGCGAATTGCCTTATAAAGTTTCAAATAATCCAATAAGATATTTTATCTCGTACTATTCACCGATTTTTAGTAGAAAAAATTTTTTGTAACAAACATTCGCACAGAAATAATTAATTATAATAATTCCCCTGATTAAATTAGGTTCTACCTGTGCTAATTATATTTCTCATTCCGTATATACTTTAGATATGCAAACATTCCTCATAAAATTTTAATTAAATATATTGTAAAATATATATCATTAAATATATTGATGTAGCTTGTGGGATCCAATTAGAATATTTATAGCGTCAGTTTCCAATACTTCTACAATATGTGAAGAATGTTATAATCGGTACAGACTTGTACAGCAGGTATTTCTAGAACTGATATTTGCGTCACGAGATTCTGTTGATATAAATCAACGACACGAATGCGTCTGAAGACTGAGACTTACGGGTTCTTTGTGAAGCGCGTCAGCCCGACACCGATGCTTCTGATGCCGTCGCTGTGCAGGTGCAGCAGCAGCTGCCATACCTCATCATCAGCCAGACCGCAATGCAGCAGCCTTATTTTGGCAAGTCTGCACAAGGACCAAAAGACAGCGTAAATATTAGTGCGATACCACCTAGTTGGCACGGAGTAAAATTATAAATGCAATAAAACTCACACTAGGAATTATTCAAAATTAACAAGTTTAATGTTTCTGTTCCATCAATATAAAGCATCCTCAATAGTTCAGTAGACTATTTCTAATTTCTTAAAGGCATTCACGTGTTGATTGGATAACCTTTTGGTGAGCGGGGCGATTGTGCGTATGGCTCGGGCGATCGTCTCGCGGCTGCCGGGCTTGGCGTCAAGTACCCAGAGTTGCGGCGGAGGATAGGCAGGCAGACGCCCCTCAGCAGCATCGGGCTCATGAGTCTCAAACCCGTCGTCTTGTTTCTCCGGACACGGCGAGGACCGAGTTGGCTGGAACACGGAAGCCCAAGAATCTTCGAGTGGACGGATCTTCACTACTGCAAATGAAACAACAACCAAACTCATGTTAATGAGCTGGAGAAGAAAGTTCCCAGCGTTGTCCCAAATGTGAACCTACACGTGACCAGCAGAATATCGTGCTTAAATGAATACCAGCACTTACCTAGACTCTTATATTTGCCCTGCAGAGTGTTCAAGTTGAGGGGGGCCGAGAGTGAGATGGAAAGTTCCGTATTGGCCGCCGTGGACACAGAAGCCACAGCGGAGACGCTAGCGTCACTGCTGATACTGCCCACCAACTCAGTAAGCTGACACCTGCGCGCGGCAAGCGCCATTAAAAAAACTCAAAACATTACGTGCCGCTGTCGGTGCAGAAGTTAGCATATGTGCGGGTGAATTCCAATTTAGAAACTCTACCTGTGAGGCTGTGAAGTAGGTACAGTAACTGTAACCTCTACGGATCAATGTCAATATATTACCTGAAGCTAGTACGTAGCCAAGTAAGCACCGAATCTATGATTGCTAACTGCAGTATTACGTGAAAGGGGCTCAGTATGAACCTATACCTGAGGACTGGCACTGGTCAATTAAAAATTTGTCTATTTTTACTAGTTCAGACGTCTATGTCATTGATAGAAAAATGCTAGAAACTATAGATATATACAGACTAGAGTTCCTGTGAGTAGACAATTAGTTGCACACCAAGAATCAATTTAATACTTAAAAGAGAAGCGTCACTAGCCTGGAAAAGTTTAGGCACTCGAGCAGGTCTTCATATTGCGCTTGTGTCGCCACGGAACTCTCCTCGAGGTGCAGCTCAAGTTGTCCTCGGTAAAGGCTTGTCAATCCAGACCAGCTAAAGCCAGCAGCGGCCAGATCAGCAGACGGTAATTTGATGTTGATGAGACGAGGTTGCTCGTATTGCAACATTAATGATACAGCTTCCATATTGCGAGCTGCAGACAGGAAGATTATTGAAGCCTTAAGCTATATAATTTGAGATTTAAATTCCAAGTCAGAAAAACGAAAGAGTTAGCTGTTGATCTCAAGTCTAATTTGCGCAGAAACTGTTTATTTTTGGCATGCATCATGCCAATAATTAATATTTCCTCTCAGCAATCCTTACAATGGTCAACTACCGCGTCAAATGTCACAAATGATCAACTCGTAAACCTGACCCACCGGAGCGAACGGTCCATTCATCTGTCGCTGTGATCGTGATCTTGGCCGCATGTTTCGCCAGCTCGATGAGGCCAGGACCCTGGAGCAGCAAGTTTTGCCAGTCTTCGCAGCTGTAGAGCCCAGTTTCGGTAATGACTTCCCTCAGTTCAGGCCAGTGGCGTTGGAACAGCAATGGACAGCTGCTTAGGTCTTGCATGACATACGGCAGTACATCCATGAAGCTGCAATACAATTAGCATGAATAAATAAACTTATTTGTTTATGAACTTCTTAGGCCAGCATAAAACGAAAGAGTTAATTAGGGATCTTATATGCTGTAGAGAAGAAAATTTTATTTCATATCTTTATCTTTTGTATTTATTACAGAGAATTGCAGGTGCATTTCAACTATTAGCCAATGATCTCTTCAAAGATAAACGACCGGTTTCAGGATTGTTTAGAAACAAGATGCAGCTATGCATTCCCAGGATATCCGTTTTTTGCAACAGCTTGGCTTCAAGTTCCTTAAAATATAATATGGTAGTTTTAGCCCTGCAAGTGGACACGGCGGAAAAATGTTGATTGAATACAACTCTATCATGAGCATTTTCCGTCGATGCGTAAGGTAGTTACTTAAGATATTGATATTTTTCGAGATTGTTGCAAGATTTTGGTTCCATGAATTTGAAATTCTTTTAAACATAAGTCGTGTAATATAAATGTATATATATATATATGAGTTGTAATGTAATGTATTGTATAAATATAAGTCGTAATGTATATATCTATTGAATGTGTCATTTTCATGACTTCAGGCGTGTCACACGAAGTTGTGATCTCACCTCGCCTTCATCGCCTGTGTTGTGCCTAGTATTTCATGGAGGGACTTGTCGTTCTTCAGTTCTTCGGAAATAAACAATGCTGCGAATTTTTCTTGAATAGATTTGTGAGTGAAGGAGTATCTGGCACCAGTGGTTCCTAGAAAATTTCTTTTGACGGTGAAAATAAGTGTGAGAAAAACTTTTGAATCGATTGTCATGGCTGCATTGTGTGCGGTCATTTGGTCGTGGCATTCTTGCTCAAACAGCAAAAACTCGTCCTTGGAGAAGGCGATCTTGTTCATGGAAAGATACTTCAAGGCGGACTTCCCGATGACTTTGAAAATCTTGTTGATCAGAACTGATTTGTCGGGGACGTGCGAATCGCACAATTTTCTTTCAATTACAGTCTTGTATAACATCAATGTATCCCTTGACAAGTCTTTTGCGCTGTGCCAATTGTCGATCATTTTTGGAGAAGTTAGAAAAATGGTGCAGAACTGAAGCAGAGAAATGGGCTGTGTAAGTAATTTTCTAACTTCGGGGCTGAGTTTGGAGAATCGATCCTGCATCGCTGCACAGATAGCTGGATCATTGGTCAGATTTTGTTTACATCCTTTGATGAATTCCAACTGCTCTGCCAGCTCTGAGAGAGGATTGATATGGTAATGAGTAAAACTACTCTGGCGAATGAACTGCTCGAGTTCTTCGATTGCTTTTGGACGAGTCGTGATAATAATGCGAGATTCACGATGCCATGTTTTCTGAAACAATTCTCGCAAAACCGTCATAGAGTTTTCGTTGGCCTCGTCAAATGCGTCGACCAGGAATAGAACGCAAAGACACGAGAGAGTCGGCAAAATATTTTCCTGGCCTATTTTTGAGCAAACGTCCCCGAAGTGCTCGCGAACAACTTGATGCAATTTGTCTTTCGTGTCATCCCTGCACTCGATGAAAACTAGAAGGTCGAAGCTCTTGAGGTAGTCCGGTACTTCGCGCTGCAATCCGAGGAACTGTTGGATTAAATTCTTGAGTAGTGTCGACTTTCCAGCCGCTGCAACGCCAGACACAACAGCAACTGCAGTGGTAGCTTCGAATACTTGCGTGTAAGGAAATTTCTTCTCATCTTCGTCAGGCAGCGTTAGTTTGGGCGGGTAAAAATCAGCTGAGAGTTTGAGATGACCTACGCCGCTGCTTAGATCGTTGGTGAAATTTTGTAAAAGACGGCTGGCATTTTGTTTCCCTTCACTGCACAAGCAGTGAGAAAAATAAGTCTGTTTCAGATCGCTGGGAGAAAACCCCCTGCTTATGTCACTTCGCAATTCAACCTCCATTGCTTTTACCTCACGCTTCGAGAGTTGGTAAAACTTCCCCGCCACTTGGATGAGCTCCAGCAACTTGCTGTGGAGTTCTGGAAGTTTGGATGGATTTTTCATAGCGCTGCCCTCATGCGCCATTTCATTTCTTATGTCTTTGACGGCCTCTAATTTAGTCTTCAGTTCTTTGCAGTCATTCTCTTCATATTTGGTTTGGAAGATTGCACAGAACAGAGCAAAGACTTCCGTTGTATCCATATCATCGGAAGAAGTTTTATCCTGGAAAATCTCACGGTATCGCCAGTTCGGACATAACCTCTTCCAGTTACCTTCAGAGAAGTTGCTGTGTTTTATCTGAATATATTCCTTATATGAATGATTTGGTTGCTTATCTCTGCATTCAATGTTTAATATTTTCCGGAAATACTTCGGGCCAAGCTCCCAGCATCCTTCAACATTTTTTCTGATCGTTTCCATTTCCTGAAGATCGGGATCTGCGATGAGATATGAAAAATTTTCAATAATAATAAATAATAATAATAATAATAACGGTTTCAGCGTTTATAAGGCCGTGGGCCTGTCACCGATTCTTAACATCGCAGAACATAACAGTATTTTGCGCGATATCGAACTCGCAATTCGCTGCTACAATTCTGCTGTGCTTAACCGCCCGGCCTCCTTGCAGATTCTGACCAGAAACTGGCGCACAGAGGTCAGACTGGCGCACCTCTCTGCTATAATCCTGGTACTCTGAACTGTAATCACTAGGCCACAGTGACACTAGGCCAATAGCTATCTCTCACAGAAAATATTAACCTTAATTTGAATAAAGCATGATTTGATTGGTGGAAGTATTAATGATTGAGCATTCCTTAATGTTCAATTGTCTGCATTTGAGCATTTCTGCTAATATCTCAAATTAAAATTAAATTCTCTTATTCTCAGTCAAACATTTGAACAGAAATAATTGAATCGAATTTAGTCTTTAAATGGTCTAAGTATTCATATCAATGAGTTGCATTGTGAGTTGAAAGAGATCTGAAGTTATTTTACATATATATAGGTTCAATTAGAGTCTTGTATCTTTTTCAAATTTGAAATCAAGATAATAATGTCGACCTCGATGTAACGATACTGCTCTTATATATAATCTTGAAAAATTAATTTCGCGTATTTCATAGTTTTCCTACCGCAGTGAGCGTCACTGGTTAGTTACAGTGAAAGTCTTAAATTATTTGATGTTGTTAGCCAAATTTAACTGTATTGCTAGGTTAGAAGTTGCAGGTATGATACGCCAGGAAGTGAGCTGCTTCTATCGTCATCAAACGATATACTTTGAGTCGTGAGTCGATTAAGTAATTGTCAAACTGCTCGAATAAGTGATCTTGTACACAGCAGGCCTAACGACCTCCACCATGTGGTCAGCCCAAGCCACTGCCAACCATGTGCTCATAATCACCGACAGCTCACCATGTAGTCATTCATTGCCACATGTCCATTCGTTTGTCATAGTCATATGCCATTTTTGTAAATATTTTTTCAAAAGAATTGCGCCTAATTTTTACGACATGAGTTGTCGACATTTCAGACATGCTAGACTATTTTGGCTAGCGACACATCAATGCATGTAATTTAGTTACAGCTCAAGAACAACTAACATTGCAAATGCCACATGGAATCGTTCGCCCAAGCTCTACTGATAAGCCCGTTTCGTCAGAGGAGCTAAGCTTCTCTCGTTCGAGGAGCCAAGCTCCTCTGATGAGCCCCTGCGTTGGAAGGCCAGCCTCCACACTTACGTGTAATCGGCATGGTGACGGGGACCTGGACCGGCCGCTGCTTCTTGCGCCTCAGCCAGAGAATCCTGGAAACGGAAGGGAGTTCAGGATGTGTCACGTTAAATCTGCGAGACTGATTGGAAACCTACCGGATCAATTGATGAATACAAATTTTGGGATCTTATCTCATTTAAAGTTTAGTCATTCGCTTGGTTTACAGGTTAGGTGCTGGTAAATTGGCTCAGAAGCTTGACCTAGTTCATTGAAAAAATCAATTGGCAACGTTAGGGACAAATTTCCCAATTTGCTGGCAAAGGGACGAGCAGTTTATTACACGACCGTTTTTCTTGACGCTACGGTGCACGTAGAAGTGTGATGTACTTAAACGTGAGGGCACCTAGACGTGTCCGTATGTCTAAGCAGAAGTACACTGCGCAGAGGCACACTGCGATAATCGGTACAGTGAACGCTGAAGCAACCGTGCACGAAAAGGTAAAATGTACACAGTAGTCATCAATGTCGTGTACTGTTAGACTACCTGATTATCAGCCTCCCAACCGCATGTTCGTGTCAACGGGAACATAAGACTGAATTCTCTTTTGAGCCTCTTTTCCTTCTATTCCACTGTATACAGGACTGCACTCCCAAATGATTAGAGCGTCGATAATTCTGACCTAAAATTATATTATACTGTATAGAACGTAGTTTGAGGGTGAATTAATTCATAACTTGAGTTATGGAAGTTAGAATCTTAGAGTGAAGTGTCGAGAAGGTTACAGGAATTCCGGTTGAACTGGGAAAAGCTAGTATAATGTGCTATTGTTCTCGAGACCGTGGGAACGAGTTTGTTTATATCGATTGTTGGCGAGCTCAGCGCGAGGGAAATTCCAGTCGAGGAATGTGGCGTCACTTCGAGGGGTAGGCGTAAGTGAGGGCGAGACCAGCATATACGTATAAGGAACCTAAAATTGGCGCCAAAGTTTGGTTCTACAATGGTGACCATCTCGTCAGTACGGCCTGTAGCTATCTCCGCAACGGCTTCGGCTGTTGGGCGGCAGGTCGCGAAATGACGGCCGCGCGAAACTTCGAGTCATTCATACCACCACGACTCTGATATAATAACGTAAGAAATCTACGAGTAACGGCCTAATGTCGCTTATTAATTCGTACGGTCAACGTACATTGCTACAGTTGAGATTTAGCCGTGAGACAACGTGATAGACAACAAGACATTCAACGATGTAACGCCAGCAATCATGAAGATTCAAGTTTTGAGCACGGAGGCAGACTTATATTGTACGGTAATCAGCACAGTACGGTCACAACTCTCATCAGAAGAATCGGTACGATCACAGTCATAATCAACAACAGTACGAGAGCGAGCTGGGAGAAATATCATCGACTATGAAGACGAACGCTATTCCGAAGTACGGTCGTTACAAGAAACCTACGGCCAGACTGACCGTGAGGCATCTATATCAGCGAGACACGACGGTTATGAAGAAAAAGCGACCGCGGGGATCGACGCGCGGCTACAGCTGCAGTGCCGCCACTTGGAATACGGCTGCGGTACGGTTGCTGAACATACGGCCGTAAACAGGTGCGCGAGTTACGGTCGTTTACAACAATCGTTAACTCAACGCAACAGCACAGGATCAACTTTTCTGGTAAATAGAGAAATTTTAATAATGACAAATGTTAGGTTCTCAATTTTGATTGTGTTTGGACTTTCTTTTTCATGTACCAGAGATTTTTGTTAACGGAGGATGTCAATTTTGTTAACGGAATCCCTAAATTTAATACGCAATGTATCAGTGTTACATTACAAGCCTTTCTCTGCACGATTTCTGCCGTAACCTATTTCATTCGAGGACTTACAACGTGCCGATAATGACCACTGCGGACGCAATCTGACCGAAATTACAGCGATTGCCGATATAATAACAGTATAATAATAGTAAGAATCCCAAATCTGCCTAACTTTTATAAAACTCCTATTTAATCGCAACATATACCAGAGTTTTTTATCCCATCCTATCCACTGTCCATCCTCATGCTCTTCCCCAAACCCGACGGGCTTGTCTCAAAGAGCTAGGGGTACTAACCCTATTCCCAGTCAAAGTTTAAGGCCACCTATGCGTTTCTTCAAAAATTAGAATAGACTTTACTCTACTCGTAAATGAGATGGCGATATGGATTTTTCCATGCTTACCCAGCTATTTATTTATAAGCGGCGACCAGTAACAAAAAATATGTAAACTTTGTATTAAAAGGGTTATAATGAGAGGAAATTTCAAGAAACTTTGAATATTATTGTTCATCAGGTCTGCAACTTTTTTACTTTTTTCGAGATGCAAAAGGGCTGTAATTTTTATATTCCATTGAATGGTATACTCGGCATTCCTTGATCAGCGTCCTTGTTGTAAATATTCTTTCTCAAAAAATAGTTATGATCGAGCCTGCTGATACGCGGAGGGAAAATCCCGCATACTAGTTGCTCAAATGGAGGCATTGTGGAAAGTTTGAGGGGAAAGAGACGTCGTAAATTACTCGACTGTCAGTTCACGACGGGTGGCATGGTGCCGGGAACTCAATGAGAGGCGAAGAATAATACGTGGCCAGTGGTCGGCCTAGTCCCTTCAGTTATAGCCGACCGCTGGCCATTCCTCGGCCACCTGAAAGCGACCAGTTGCCACGAGAAAGGGGCTGGCTAGGATATCATATTACAAAGAGTACAAGCTCAATGGTAGCGACTGGCCGAGCTTCGGGCAGATCAAGGATTTTACACGATAGTCGCGGAAACCTTGCTCTCAGACTTCGCTCGTCTTTCAAGCAGGGCCTTAAGTTCCGTTTTAACCGGCCCTAGATACATAAATAAAGTCCTCTTAGAGGATAATCTGGCCTGGATCGGCCACCTAAAGTATATACCTATTTTAGAGCCTTTTCGGGAGTCGATTGAGTCGTATCTGCGTAATATAACCGAGAAGAGCAGCTGGTCAAGCTGCCTAATGATGGCCCTGGTCAGACGCTGATCAGGCTTTCCCATGATCTCCCTGGTCAGGCGCTGTCCGGAGGGCATTTGCGCGACGTATAACTATCTCGCGTCCAATAAAAGGCCTTGATTTACGTGCATGGGTGAGTTTCTTAAGTTACACGGTGGAACGAGATGAAATTTGAATTTAATACTTGTTGTTGCATACGTGGTAATCACCAAATAATTTAATTGCGTATTTTTTCAAATATCAGTGTATTTCGACATTTACTATGTATACTTTACAAAAGCTGCTTCAAGGTAGGGATACGTGATTAAGCGTGCACGAGGATAAAAATGCTGGCTAAGGATCAAGTAACAGCAAGAAAGTCAAAACACAGCAGATTTGTGGGTTAAATTTTAAATCCAATTACAATAAAAAATACCTAATGTGTTGACTGTAGCAAGACCTACAAAAATGTGCACGAAATTTGTGTCATGAAACTGAAATGGCACTCCCTGATATTGTAATGGCAGTATTTCTTAACAGGCAGTGCCAGTAGTCGATGTTTGCAAAAATTTGAAAATTATAAAATAAAATTATGATAACGCATGGATAATTGAAATGATCAATACAATTGCAACAATTGTTACGAAATGAATTACTTTAACCTGTCCAAGCCTGCAACACCGATTCCAGCATCCAGCCAGCAGCCATCACTCTGCTCATCCTCTTGGGCAGTAAAGTTTAAGTGACAGTGAGTGTATTTTTTTACCGTGTCGAGAACTATGTTTTTTACCCTGCCGTGAACTATGTTTTTTACCCTGCCGTAAAATGTGTTTTTTTTTACCGCACCGTAAACTATGTTTTTTACCGTACCGTGCACTGAGAGAAATTTTAGCCAGCAGAAGTGAGTCATCCAGTTTTGTGGGTCGTAATGACCCACTTCCTGTATCGCACGCAGCAGCAGCTGCGGTAACGCTGCACGTGAGTCAATTCTTTGTATTCTAGCAATGTAAGAGAAGATTCGCATTTTAATAAAGGTATGAACAAGTCATGTACCTGAAGTTGTTATTGGTACCTTTTAGCCGTGAGACAACGTCAATGGAAATACTGTTTCGTTGACGGTTGTCGCTATTACTAGTTTCGAGTAGGGTTTTCTGTCCCACTTATAAATTATAACTATGAAGAATAGTTATTGACCATATAATTGACTTAGAGGTGAGTTCGTTAGTATCCTAACTGATCAAAAGGGATAATTAAGCACTGTGTTACGACTAATGGAGTACTTTTTCGAGCGGTTAAATAGATTAGAATGAAAATTGGAGTATGAGCTTAAATGCGTATCGTTCTCCGCCTACGACTGGAGGTATGGGCGTGGTACACATTATAAACGGAGCTATAGCTGATGTCACCAGCCCGTGAGCAAAGTGTCATCTGACATTAGTTAGGTGTGAGTCATCGCGGCGATTATGGCCGACTTGGGCTCAGCGTCTGATAACGGTCGCACAGAATTAAACGTGAAGAAAAAAATTATTGGTTTAAATTCCGTCGATAACAAGTATTTTTAGTGGATAAGTTTTTTTTGCACAGGTACCATAGTGCGTGCGCTGCAAAATTTGTTATCTAGTACGAAAGATGTTGAACTACAGGTAGGTAGTGGAGAGAGACATTTCTAACAAGCCAACAGTTCAAGCCACCAAAGTGGTGGAAATTAGTAGTTTTATATTATTGTTTTTTCTTTTCAATCTGGAACTGGACCACCCTGGCAAGGCAACAATGCACAGCCCGATCCATCTTGGCCATTCCAAGAAAAGTAAAGCCCAATTTGGCGAGTCCCATAGTGTAAATTACATATTAGTTGCTTCAGTCAAGCTGAGTTTAATTTGACCTAACTCTCATGCGCATAAAAGGACTTCCTTCTGAATATTCTGCAACAGTGTCTTAAAATGGTTACAAAAACCAAGTACCATCAACAGCACGAGTGACATGAGTTGCTCTTGTATACTACGAAAACGATAAAATAACATTTTTTAGGTTTCCACGATCAGAAGCATGGTAGAGACCGAGAAAATTTTCCAGATGGTACTTACGATATTAAATCTTAGAGATATACCGTTTGTCTTTTGCAGCGCGGTAAATTTATTATTGTGCAAACAGACAGCCAGTAATCTCCATGTAAAACAATTGATCTTAAAACTAGTCCATTTCAAACAGATACAAATCTCCTTAGGAACTAACTTGACTTATTTAAACTATAGCACTTACCTAAATTAATAACTATCAGATTTAATCAGATGCATAATGTTCATATGGGTTTTATTTGATTTATTCGACGTATGAAATATTTATCCCTTTCCATTCGCAGTGAGCAAGACATTTTTTATAAACTACTGTACAGACTTGAACGAAAATTTGAATATACGAACCTAACCCCCCAACGGTGATGTTTAGCTCATGATAATTTTTTTTAGATTTTGCCTTCGTTCGCGAGTTATTTAATTTTTTCATCATTCGTGGTTTTACGTATACGGCTCTTGATCGATGCAAGTTTAAAAATCGGACTGAGAAATGCCGGTCGTTTCTCTGTAGATCCGTATTACTCGCGAACGAAGGCAAAATCGAAAAATTGTCACGAGCTGAACATCACCGTTAGGAGGTTAGGTAATCATATACGAAATTTCGTTCAAATCTGTCCAGTATTTTAGAAGGAATGTCTTGCTCACTTCGAAATTCGGCACGTATTGCTGTTCAAATCACGAAAGAGGGAAAATCGAAAAAAACTCGCAAACGAAGGCAAATTCTAAAAAATTGTCATGAGCTAAACTTCACCGTTGGGAGGCTAGGTTTGTATATTTAAAGTTTCGTTCAAATATGTAAAGTAGTTTATAAGAAATGTCTTGCTCACTGCGAATTTCGGCACGTATCGCCATATAACTCACAAATGAAGGTGAATTTTTTTACAAAATTTAGGTCCTAATGACTACGTGTACCAAGTTTCATCGATCTACGTTCATTACTTTGAGAGATATCCCTTGTTCACTGAATTTAGAGGTTTGCCGCGTGACCGGCCGCGAGACCGCTCGCAAGTCCGGCCGTAAATTTGTCCGAGACGTCTAATTTACTAATAACGAGACAATGCATTGCTCGTACTTCAGTTTTCGGCGGCATATTGTCGGTTGAAAACCAAAGGCCCCAAAATTTTCTCTCAATGGCTGCAGCAAAGCGAAGAGGCTGGATAATTGCGAAGGTAGACCACGCTAGTGTTGCACATCTAAAATGACTTCACTGGCCGAGTTGTGGCTGTGGAATTTCAGCGCTATGGCTTTAACCCATTAGCGCCCATGATTGTTTGTTTTTGTGGATATTATTCCTGAACTTTGGATCAGGAACATGTTCTTCTTCAATAAAGTTTACATATAGGTTATAGACATCAACTGAGATTAGTTAAAAGTGTATCCTTTTGTCTGAAAAATCGAATATATGAAATTTTCTGAGAGAAGTGACCCTAATCGTGATGTGACAGAGATATCAATTGACATGTACAATTTTCCCCATTATAAACATTTCTGATTCATATTACCATAGTAGGTGGTAGAATAGTCTATGTTCTTCTGAAAATGCTAAGGTTAGTCTCAATTATACTGTTAGTAATGCTGTAAATATGTAATTTATGCCGATCCCCATTTGGGGATCATGGGCAGTAAGAATGTCGTAAAGCCAAGGGAAATGTATTTTGCCACATACTGATGTATTACCTAAATTTTTCATAAAGTAACAAAAGTTAGCATCATTATCATTCACTTAGTAAAGGAAATTGAAGGAATGATGCAAAACAAATCATTTCATTACATGTTTTTGGTTTGGAAATGAACCTGAACAGTTGGAACCAGTAGCTTGAGCTGAAGCAAAACCATTATTTCAATGACAATTCAACATTGAGAACTCGTGCAGGCCAAAAATTGTTCAAGATAGCTCCTATAATTGAAAGGATAAACCAAATCTTCTTGACGATTGGTACTTTTTCCAAAAATCTGAGCATTGAGGAGCAAATGGTTCAATATTATGGACACCATTTCCTGAAGCAGTTCATCAGAGAGAAGCCTTTTCGGTTTGGTTTTAAAAAATGGGTGCTGAGCTGTTCAACTACAGGATATTGTTTCGATTACGATCTTTATGAAGGCAAGAAAGAAGACTTATCGCCTGTCAATGGACTAGGAGTTTCAGTTATCCTGTATAAAGTTGGAAAAGCTAGTAGTAATCCATCGGATCATGTATTCTTTTTGGCAATTTTTTTCACAAGTTTCGATCTATTGAAGTTACTAACTGAACAACATGTGTCCACTTCAGGGACAGTGAGGCTCAATCGTACCAACAAGTGCCCTCACGCATCTGAACAAAGAGTAAAAGCCTTGAAAAAGCAATAAAGTGGCTTTATTGAAGTAGCTACATGGTTAAGTGTAGCTGTGCATCTGTAGGCTTACCGTTGGCCTCAGAGCTTGTTTAAGAGCTGTAGGCAACAGCTGCTCGCAGGTTAAACGTAGCAAATGCGTGCTGAGCCCGGCAGTGAGCAGAGGGGCTCATTTGAGCGTTAATTAAATTTATGGTCCACGGTAGTTCCGCCAAAGGATGGAGTTATTGCTTAAAATTTATTGAATACCTCGCTTCTGTTGCTGTCATATGATAGGCTCAAGTTTTTAATTGGAAATTTGAGTACGTAAATACAACCTTCGAAGGTCATTTCTTTTAATTGATTAGTCGTTGTCCCCTGAAGGTATAACTTTGGTATTAAATACTATATTAATGTCAAAACGTGAAATTCTAGGGTACAGATAATGTGTAAGTTCCTTACAGTATAATAAATGATTAAATGTCAGCAAATATATTGGCTCGAATTGCTACATTATATTTTTTCCACAACATCATCAGTCATCACTTAATTTTTCAGTATAATTGTTAATTCAGATGCAGAAAAATATGCATCTTTCATAAGATAATTCCGTTCTGAAGACGAAGGTTATTATTTGGGTTTGAGTATTTGTCTGTTTAATCAGGCCAGTTAAAATTCCCAACATTTTTTGTAATTCTGTGTGGGCAACCTTCCTCATTTCTTCATATTTAAATTTGGAGATTTAAGCTCCGCTCCAGCTTCTAGCACGGTTCAGAGACAACCCACCAGTTTCCTAATTCCTGCTAACGACGCCACATCTTCACTCGGTTTACCGCTTCATCTGCGCCATGTAGCGAGACCATCAGGGTGGTTTCGAGGTGCGAGACAATCTGGGGGCGACAGAAATAGCTCGTCTACTTGCGTTGGATGCATCTTGGCGAGACGAAACACGAACCAACAAAGTTACGAGCGTATGCATAAGTAATTTATTCCCTCTTTTTTCATGACTGTACTTTATTCCGTCGCATAATCAGGTTCATTAGATTTCTCAGAAGTCATTAACAAGGCAAGTCATTAGCAACTTATTTGAATGTCACCCTACGCAGAAGGCAATTTCCTTGAATTACGTTGCCGCAAACAATCCATAATATTTTAAGTATTCCATCGCTGGAAACAGAAAATTTGGCTACCATATATTAACTGAACCTTGTTGATAAGGTTACTAGTTACAATTCAAGTCCTTGTATTAAAAGTGAGCCTTGTTGACACACTGGGCTACTGCTTCACTTGCTTGTGAATATTATTGCAAGAGAATGCTGTGTACTGGCGAATGCGAGTAAATCTTTGGATTTGGCGCATATGAAAGAATAATTGCTCGAATGAATGGAAAAAAGGTTTTGTAGTGTATAAATTATGTGTGAGAAAATATGATGTAAGAGAATGTTTTCCTTGAAGTATACAGAATATGGTGTCAAATAGATGCAAGAAATATTTTAACAACTTTATAAATAATATGAACAGGTACCAGAACTTTTCGATTTGCAAAAACATGTCCTGTCTCGACTGGAACTTTAACCAATAACTGACTAAAGTTCATGTCGAGATGGAGAAAACATTTCTTCGCCAGTTGCATTATTGTACCGTGTTAATGCATTACATTCCATGTTTTTACCACGTGGTGAAATGGGACGCAAAAGGCAACGCAGGTAATAAAACCCCCTTAATCCCCCTCCCCCAAAAGGGGTGGGGAGGAGGGGGCGTTTTATTTTAGCCCGCATTTAGACTCGGACGTTTCTGCCCTATAAGGCATTAGGTGCCAAATAAGCGCTATCCTCGGTAGCCCAACGACCTCCATAGAATTTATTAGATTCTAATCACGCGCTTATGTTGCTCAGAAAGACCGAGTGAAATGGGGACATAGAGCCACCAATTTACTTACTGGGTGACCGTACGACGTCCCTGCAGCAGAAGCTGATAAGACCGAAAATTTGTTATAGGGTAGTTTCCACTGCTGCAAAGTATAGCCATCAACTTCTCCTCTGATTACTTATGATCCGCTGAGCGGCAGAGAGGAAATATTATGTACACTCACCCCAACAACGCGACAACCACGACAGCCAGCACCACCACGCCTGTGATAACGCTGGGAATGATTCCTGGTGATGGGGATGTAGAGGCTCCTGGAGATGTAGGGGATTTTGTTCAACCGACAAGAATGAGAATTCAGTATCTACAAGAATAAGTAAATGTGAGGGAATCTATCTTCATTTCATGAATTTTACATAGACATGAACATGGACATCAACATAAACCATAGTCTAACATAAATGATCAATTCGTCACATACCCTGAATCTGAACTTGTTTATTCATTTATTCACACATTATTCATAATATAAATAAATAAAATAACCACAATTCTGCTTGGCATCACAACACCTTGAGAAACTCCACCCAACAGAAAAAAAAACGCAGTAAATTTCATCTTGAATATTCATCATGTTCACCGTGATTCCAAATTTAATGGCCACCAAAAATGTTACTTCGTCTTACATGAGCAGCTCGCTGGCATGTAAAATATATCTTAGTAGTATAGTAGAAGGCCTATCATCACAGTTTGTATAAAGGACTTAATAGGTTAAAGAAAATTACTCCCGCTAAAAACCTGACCATTTAACCCCGATCAAAACCTTACCATTTACCCCTATTGACTGAGCGCTCCCAATATTTCTTAACCACCGCCGTCAGTGAAGTTTGGATTCAATTTGTTACTAAAAACCCGGGACTTAACCTAGAGCTAGTGTCACGATGGAAAATACATCTTTGGGATATATAATTGATTTAAATTTTTAAAATAATTTTCGGAAACTGGGTGCTCATGTTATTGATCAACACAAAGCTACATGGTACATTATACGTTTGATTACTCAATTCTTGAAAGCCTGCAAAGGCCATATCGCAAGCAAAGCAATCACTATGAATATTCTTGATATCGATTGATAGTAACACGAATAGAATCAATAAATTTAAATTCGTTCTAGTGGTTTATCTTGGAAATATGTGATAGTTTTGGCATAAGTAAATCGAACTACAGATATTATGTCTTCCACGGGTGTAAAAAGTAACAGCAGGATTCTGATTTTTTTCCGTAGCAATATCATCATAAATGAACAAATTTTTCTTCTGAGGATCTATTTCAGTTGGGTCAGAGAAAGAAGCAGTCTGAAACTGTTCGATTGCACATTTTTGATGAAGTCTTTCAGGGGAGTTTTCATGATATTCATCTCAATATTGCCATTGCCCTTGTAAAATAAATCAATGATTTCATATCTATTAAATCCCATATCAAAAGCGTTCTTCAACAACTTATATCCAGGCTGATGTTTTGACTTTCTATAAAGGAAAAAATTTTTGAAATCAATAAAGTTCTCCAATTGCAACTTCTGTAGCAATGACGTTTTTCCGCAGTTAAATTTTTCAGGAATGAGACAACTCAAACTTGGAGAAGGAAATACAAAATGGTTGTTCTCCTTATTTTTATTATCGTCCTTCCAATTATAGAGAATTTCTGAAAGTTTTGTTTCTAAAATCCTTTTCAAAGTTTGTTCCAATATATTCACTTGCATTAAAAGCGGATTTATTTCGGTTGAGAGATGATGAAAATCATCGCGGATATTATCAACATCAATCTACAGCTGATTAAAATTTCCAAAATTGAACATCACCATTCGTTCTACATCCTTTATTTAGTCTTTCTTTCTGATTAAAAATTGAATCAAGCATTTTCTCTCCAAAAAAGTGTAAATGCTATTAGAGAGAACCGCTTTACACTTCATTGATACGCTTTACTATAGCGTGTAAATGAACTACCCTCTATTAACTTTAATTCACTTCCGTCATAAATCACTCTTTATTTTCTAATATTTTTAACGGGCTCACCATACATGACTAGATGAAATGACTTACTAAACCGAAGCGTAAATACATTACGTAGTGTGAATTGACAATCTAGCTTTTGTTCATCAATTATTTCATATGGTACTTAAGCTCTCATTTTTATTACCAAAGAATATAAATGAATTTAGTGAATTTATAAATTTACCAGCAGGCAATGTCTGGTTGCATCAACGTTGAAACAACGTACTTCGTGGCGTTGAAATATTAGTCCAGAATGAAAAGTGAATCAACGTCATTTTTCAACGTCGGGCATTTCGACGTTGTTTCAACGCTGCAATCGCATTGAAATCTGACGTCAAAATAGCATTTATAGAAGGTTTCATTACGTTTACATGTTCTATCATGAATGCCACAGTATATGAACATCGTATTACAATGAGTTGCATTTGGGTAGCATATGCGCTACAGTGTGCATATGCAACAGTTTGGGTAGCATATGCACAGTGTGCATCACACAGTGTATTCTCAATCACTGGGGCTTTGTTCCATTTTCATTGATTGTTGTGTTTCCTATGAGCAAGACCACGCTTGGCGCGTTCAGCAGGATGAGCCATCCACTAGCCCAGGCAACTGAGTGATATTCCTACTTTGTGCAATGTCTATCGTGCATGCAACATTAAATGTGCGCACTATTTTCTGCACGAGATGTCTAATGCGGGCACAATCATTCATGCAACAATGCGGGCACTGTTAATTGTAAACTAACGATTACTCGTCTAATATAATTATAAATATTGAAAACCCCACGGAGGTTAGCAAGAAGATGGACAAGGTTGCAATGGTTTACTTGTTATTTAGTACAAATCTATTATGTGCAGCATCTACTGATTTAACTGTCTGTAAGGTACTCTATCAATTGCTTTAACTGTGGACACTGTGCATCATATTGAGCGTGCATTGTCGATAGAGTATTCTGCTGCTATGGCAGGCAATGTGTCACTTACGTGCTGTGTAAGGTACCGCCATACGTACGCATAACCCCCTTAAAGTAGTACATTCAAAATCTTGCTAAATCGAGGAAGTTTTGCATAACTTTTCGCCTGCTATAAGGTCGAATTACGCACAAGTTCTGTAGACGTGAATTGGGAAGGGTTTTCTTCTATTCCTAGTCGAGTAAAAGGCTGTGCGATTAATGAATAAAAGTTGTATTGATTGGTCTGACATTTTTTCCAACCGATCAGGATTGTGTGCGATAGTCGTTTGTTCATCAATGTCCAGAACTGAAATTTCCCTCATTTATATTTTGTAATTTTGAAACTAATATTTTGTAAATTGGCACGGAATTAATCTTGAGTCTTTTCTGAAGATAAATAGTGTCTGGGGATGGTATCTATCAACCTTAAATATCGTCAACGACACAGTAAAACTGATTTACTATAAATCTGCGCGTTAGTTTCCGTCAAAGGCGACCTGACCTCCAGTGATAGTGCAATATAATCGTCTCATTAATTGATGGACTCATGTCCTCTCCTTCGGTTGGAAATGAATCCGCATCTTTTATTCTCTGGAGGTATCCTCGCACTTACTCTCAGTGGGGACTGCACCTCACATTCTCTGATGGCACGCTCGTACTCACCTTCAGTGGGGCAGGCAGTCTGCACCTTAGCGTGCCGGATGCCGAGGTTGTAGTCAGGGTGCGCTAAGCCCCTCGAGGTGTTGACAAGGACCCGCACAGCGTACCGCCCGCAGGGGGCAAGGTAGAAGGCAAGCTCTGCGAGATTATAACGACCATAAAAAACCTTTGGGCAAATTGTGTCATTCCTGGCTTATTTTCGTTTTCATTTAACGCATTAGTAGTAACTGACAACGCAAAAAAGAACATTGGCAATGATGGATAAGAGATGCGTTAGAAGAGCGATTGTCCATGCATATTTACCCTTGTCTTGGAAAATAACTATGAATTGTTTATAAATGAATTATATTGGTTGTCTTCTAATAGTTGACAATTATATGTCACAAACTTCTTAGTCATAGAAAGTTTCACATATTTAAAATTTAGTTTATTGAGTCATAAAACATAAGGCTATGAGCAGAAATTTTCATGAAAATCTTGTCATCTAAGCATGACTACTTAGAAAGTCCTCGTCAACTATCCTTGCAGAACCTACTTATTGCACGCAAAAAAGGAAAAACAAATGGAATAAATGGAAAAATTAAATTGTTTAAATGTACACGAAGATTATAGGCTTATCATAAGGCCCATCTTAATATTTATCATGAATTTTTGAATTTTTTTTCTTGTTGAATCTTTTACGGTTAGGTTAACCAGTTTAATGAGGATTTTTTTGATGATACTTTCTGCTCGATTAGCTGCCACGAGTATAGCCGGCACGTCGCCACGCAGGACCAACCTCGACTGGAAACTTCCACATCTGATGTCACTCGGCTCATCCACTTGGCGGTTGAATTACTCAAGTCCAGCGCATCGACCCGATATCTGGTGGCAGGCACATGAGGTCAAAGATCGTTCTCACTTTAAAAACGGCATGAACTTTACTGCTTAGCTAATTTGTGGCTGCTAACGTAGTAGGTGTGATACCTGGACTGGAATAGGACACTGGATCAATAGAATAACATTCTGTAAACAAATTGTTGATGAAATTTCAGCATTCGTTATGTTTAAACAACGGAAAAAATCGTTGATATGAAAATTTTCGTTCATATAACTGAACATTCGTTATGATGACTCGAAGTAACGAGCGCCCTTTTCATGTGAGATCCATTACGCTTGTAGGGCGTACTCGAAGAGGAGAAACAACAGCACCAGGCTGTGCCAGGCCTCTTCTGAATCCGCTAGCAATGTAGAATTGTAAAAGCATGTTACGAGTTGGGTCTTATCCTTAAGATCTGTGTCCTACCCTACGACGCTAGTGTCCGGGTCCAGGACGCCCTCGTCCGTCCTGGCGGACCAGTCCCTCATCGCCACGGTGCACAGAGTGCTGATGCAGGTCACGGAGAGAGGTGCCCGGAAGCGCGGCAAGTTGCGAGGGCGAGGCTGGTCATCTAGGGGGCGAATATGCCGACAAGTGCGCATTAAACTCAGCGAATGATTAATAACCCTATCAAAGATTTGATACCTGTCAGCCGCAGGTATCAAAGCCGTATATTGCCCAATATTCAGCGGTATATTGCTCGATAAGCCGAATATACGGAATCGGACCGAAAAAAGCAGCTAGCCAGGCTTCTGAGAGCAGACGCTGTTATTCGAGCGAACCATGACCTTCTCTCGCTCATCACATGGCGTCGATGTATGTACGTACATGCGTACTTTCGTCAAGGCATATGATGGAACGAAATGAGAATTGATTTTACCAATTTTTCAAGCTTACGTGTTGCAAGATAATAATTTCATTAATTATAGGATAATATCTGGATTTATTGGCAATCTTTAAAAACCACAGAATGCTCGAAGGCATGGAAATATGACTAAGGGGTACAGGAGGAGAAAAATACTTGATAAGTACGTGGCAGTAAAAATGTAATGCTTGTAGCTCCATGAGAAAAATTTTAAATTTTTTTCATAACATACATAACTAATACGTAAGCTGTTAATTAGCAGAAAAGCAATTATGGTCGTTTCATTCAATTGCGGTTACTGGGCGTGAGTGTCATACATAATGTACATAACTCTTCTCAGGCACCTTACTACTTTTTGAACGAATTAAAAAAAGTTTAGTCATTAGTTCAAAAAACCTCCATGACAAAACCTGCTCAATGCTTACGGTTCTTTTTCCTCATAGTTACTTTATCATATTCACAGGGCAAAATTTGTGTCTAGCTTCTTTAAATGTTTAAATATTATTCCTGTTTAACAAGATGCAGCTTGAGGCAGAGTTTACACGACGTTACATGTTCGTTCGGCTCTCAGCTGTCGCCCGGCGGGCGGCGACCAGCCTAGTTCCCTAGTGGTACTAGTTATGATCGCACGTCGAAAGGCGAACGTTGTTCTTTTCAATCCTAATCCTGTAATCGTAGTGGGAAAAGTGAACTTGTGAAGTATTAGACTTAAAAATTATATAGTTTAAAAGCTGAACATATTAGATACTAGAAATGCAATCGTTTTCCTGTTCAATGGTTCTGCAAGTGGAGTTCATTGAGAAACACAACACCGATACCGGCATTACGGGAATATAGTGGCGCCATGATGTCGGCATTCTACTTCGCTTAGAAGATTCTGGAACTGGCGGTATTGGAAATTTTTAATTTTTAACTCGAGGTACATGCTGACATGATTATGTTATTTTAGCTGCTCGTGTCCATATACTTAAGGTTTTAATTTCCATCTCATCGAGAAAGCTGGATCCATGTGTGGAAATGCCAGTTCACTCAAGTTCAACTGCATGGTTAGGCTTAGTCTTCACCAGTCAAGCTCAAGCACAAGCAGTCACCATGTCGCTGCAAGAGAAACGAGTACAAACAAGGATAGAATTCCTATAGTCTCAACTCCGTAAGTAATCAAGTTGCTGGTTCATTGTAATTATATGCTTGTTTTTCGTTGTATCGTTGGGTTATACAAACAAGGATAGAATTCCTATAGTCTCAACTCCAGCTCCGTAAGGAATCAAGTTACTGGTTCATTGTAATTATATGCTTGTTTTTCGTTGTATCGTTGGATTTGGTACCAGAGTGAAATCGAAGTAATGTGAATTGGGGGATTTTCGAAGAATTGCATATTATTAGAGCATAAATTTCCGAACTTTCCATTGAATATGGCAATGTTAGGAAGGTCACAAGTTCCTACTAAAATTTCGACGATAGCATTTGATCTATTCTTCTTCACAACCACTGTAGGAAGAATTTTATAGACTCTTGCAAATCAGTTCGATAGACCATTTGGTGCGGGTGAATGTGTTAGAATGTTTCGAACATGCATAATGTGTGCTAATATTGAGCGGTGTTGAATAGTGGAGAATATTGATCGTTGAGTGCTATTGCATATTGAAGAATGTTTGGTTTTGGGAAATGTGTGAGAATGCTGACTGCTGGTGAATATTGAGAGTTATTTAAATTCAGAGCTGGGCAGCGCTACTTTGAAACATAGCGCCGCTACCGCTACATGCTCTAAATGTAGCGGGCGCTACCGCTACCGCTACACCCACTAGATTGAAGCGGGCGCTACCGCTACAGTAAAATGTAGCGCCGCTACATTAGCCGCTACAATGGCCAAAATTGTTGGATATCTCTAAATATTTATTGTTCTGCTTTTGGGATTTACTCATAAACATTTAGTGATAATAAAACATTTTCGAAACATATTATTGCAACTTTATTGCAATTAACCTAACCGAACTGGCACGGGTTAGATACAGTAAATAAAAGTTAGTTATTTCGATGTTTTACCTTCCCTACATGGATGTCTACTTTAATCTACCAATTTCAAAAATTATGCACATATAACTATAAAAATCCGTGTTTTATTTGTATATATGTGTGGATTTTTTTGAGATTGGTAGATTATAGTAGACACCCATGTAGGGAAGGTGAAACATAAAAATAACAGTGTAAAAATAACTGTAAGCAAACTGAAACATGAAAAAATATAGCTCAGTACTCACTGCAGTGAGTGACAGAGAGCGCATTTTCTCGTCGACGAAAACGTGAAGTCACGGACAGACAGACGGACGGACGGACAGACGGACATGGCAAGCACAATAGTGCATTTTTTCCATAAATGAAAAATGCGCTAAAAATACCTGTAAGAGGTAACTGGTAACAACTTAACAAGTAACAACTAACATGTTGACACTAGTAACAGGCTGAGGTGCTGAGGTTGACAACATTACACCGAAATCTTTCGTAAATTATGTATGTATCATGTTGGTTTTTAAATAATATTTAATACTATTAAGTAAAATCTAAAGGCTTTATCTATAAATGTAGCGGTAGCGCTGTAGCGGCAAAACATCGCATCGCTACTTAAATATGTAGCAGGCGCTACCGCTACCGCTATATTACCTGTAATGTAGCGGCCGCTAGTAGCGGCCGCTACATGTAGCGCGCTACTGCCCACCTGATTATTTTGCTCGGGCAACGTGCGAGGGTCTTGCAATTCTGGAAAATATTAGAGAATGTTGTGGGTAATGTGGGAAGTTGGGGTTGAAAATTGTATTAACTGATATTATTCCCGTTTCAAACTCGTGTTTACTTGCCACTTGCTTCATTGTGTCGCGATGATACATGTATAGTCTGCTCATGTATATAGCGTACAGCGATTCAAATGCCCCCTCCCTTCCCCCCATAAAGGGGAGAAGGGAGGGGGCATTTTTTTAACGCATTTTTCAGATTCGGCCGTGTCTGTCCCGAACGTATCAGGTACCAAATACGCGCGCCCCACGATCGCCCCAATAAGCTCGACAGGTATTTCAAAAGATTTTCGTTCGGCGCTTATTTCGCTCCGGCCACCGGAGCCTAAAGCCTAATGCCGGAATAGAGCCGCTGATTTATACCGTATATATAGGGCGAGCTTTGGACGCCCTTGAGCCAGCGGCTGACAGGCATCAAAACTTTGATAGGGAATTTATCATATGTTGTTCGTTCTTTTAAGTAATATAAATATTCTACAGCGAAAACCCCGCACGATGCATAAACCTTTTGAGGGTATATGCATACATGTATAGAAACCATCCTGGGTACATGTCATCGTTATTTTCTGATGCAGCGCGAGGACGAGGCGCTGTATCGTCACAGCAGGCGGAGGCTGCGAACGTGCTAGACGTGCTCGTAGTACTAGACGTGCTCCTAGTGCTAGACGTGCTCCTAGTGCTAGACGTGCTCCTGGTGCTAGACGTGCTCCTAGTGCTAGACGTGCTCCTAGTGCTAGACGTGCTCCTAGTGCTAGACGTGCTCCTAGTGCTAGACGTGCTCCTGGTGCTAGATGTGCTCCTAGTGTTAGACGTGCTCCTAGTGCTAGACGTGCTCCCCATGTCGCGGTTTGATTGCAACTGGAGGGCGCAGTCAGTTTGGCCATCTTTTTGAATGAATTTCAAGCCAAGATCTTATTTTTTCATGACAAAAATCCGTTAGCTGTTTCACTGTTCTAACAGAAACTTACGGCCGGTTATAATCTTGTGATCGGATTTGGCCGTTTTCTCTTGTCATTATCTGGCAACCCTGGCCCTGAGATTCCCTGGCTCAGCGGCTGCCAGTCACGCGCAGCCCGCGCCCCTGATAGTGTACGAGCTAACAGAATCCTCCTTCTCTGCTGATGTCGCAAAGTATAATGCTTTACATTTGGCATCCCCAGATATACAATGTTTTATTATCAACCGCTTTCCTGTTTGCAAATATGACACTGTTGGTTGAACGACATGCAACACATGCGACAATTGCTGCATCTGTTCCCCTGCGAATAGTTCATCAGCTGGAGGACTGGCGCAGGGCAGGCAGGGTAGCACAATAATTTCGCCTCATTGTAGTTAACAATACATTGATCAATTAGTTTTGGCAGTTGCCTACAACAAGGCTCAAGTAGCGCTTTGTTCGGCCACGCGTCTGTGGAGGAGTTGGAAGCTGCTTAGGTATTGCCTTCAGTCGTTCAGTTCATTTTCTGTTGGTAGGCCAGCGCATACGAACAACACAGAGAAAAGGAAGTGCATGCTTTTTTAAAACTTTAAAATTTAACAGAATAGTATGTACTAATTGGAAACATGGATATGAACCGTCAGTGCAGCGCCTAGGGTCGCGGCAGCCGCGCGTGCACCCGCCGTCAACAGGAGAGCAGAGGCCACCTCTGCAGTAGCGGCAGCGCAGGGCGCAGTCTGGTCCGTACCACCCAGGAGCACACCCTGCGTGAGGGCCGCACACGTGATTACCTCAGCGACTCGTGCTGGGATTAGGACAGCAACAGCGAGTATACATCACACAGCGACTACGCATGTATACATGACACAGAGGTGGGGCATATGTTAGTGCGATTCATTAGGGTGAATAAAATATC